TGGTCGACAACTGACTTGTTTTGAAACCTTTCATTTGATTTTTTTTTTTCAATTTTTCCTGTCCCATATTTAAATTGACACTAAACTCAGGAGGTAAAACTCTTAAAAATGCATTTAAGTACCGTAACTTAGCAAAAATATAAAAAATCTTATCTTATTTGTTTATCACTCAGGTGTAGATCTTCAAATCTCTGAATTGGTGCTGACACTGTCCTTCCTTCTGGAGGGTGACTACTTTTGTTCCCCCATGGTTCCTGTGTGTGTTATAAAGTAGCCACCACTCCAAGCTCACTCCTGTGATAGATTACAATCTTGGTACAATACAGAAGGAAGGACAATTCAATTTTGTATTTATTTCTTGTCCATTGAGGGACACATGAAGTAATTAAAGCGGACCTTTACCCATATGTTTTAAAATAGCAACAAACACACCTTTTAGAAATGTTTAGTAATTACACTTTACAAACACATACTTCTAAATAATTGACGACTTTTTATTCTTTGCATACCTTATTTTTCTTCCCCAGTTTACTAAGGGCAGATTACTAGCTCTCCTATTACTTCCTTGATTTCTTGCACATATGACCATGCACATCATCTTAAGGGAGGAAAATGCCTTTCCCTGAGATCTTCTGAGATTACAGATGAGATTTCCCATCAATGCTCTGCTGATGACAAGGCAATCCCAGTGTGCTTTGTGTTGGCAAACTAAAGTAATTTGCACTTTCAAAGCAGGAAGTGAATGCTCTGCAAGTGTAAGTATTTCAAAATCACAGCATTTTACACCTGGCATGTCTGTTATTATTAATCACTATACATAGAGGGATGCATTGGTAGAATTTGATTTTTGACTGTAAAAGTCCGCTTTAACTTTTTGGGACATACTGCTGCTTAAAGGAGGATTGAACACTGGCATCCAAAAAAACTCAACCCAGGATAACTTAAAACTAGCAAGTCTTAAGGTGCCCATAACCTGCCGATTATGTGGTGATCCCGCGATCGTACGATAATCGGCAGGTATATGGGCAGCGTGCGACCGCATCTACTGTACGGTCGCACGACTTTTGGAAAACATGCCGAATTTTCTGTGGGTTGTTAGCGTGCTCGGAAGACGAAAGCCGCACGGGCCAGTGTGCGCAAGCGCACACTGCTCGCTCAACATTACGATCATCGGCAAGCCTTCCCCTCAGCGGGAAGGGTTTGCGATGATCTCAAGTACGATCTGCCTGTCCAAGATGGGCAAGTCATACGAAATTTTAATGGCCTTGCAACCATCGCACAACGAAAGTCGTGCGATGGTAGTAAGGTGTATGGCCAGCTTTAGAGCTTGTCTCCAACTGCAGCCAACCAGCACAGGTGTCATCAGCCTGGCTTTTGGAGTGCCCTGTTGGATTGGTTGGTTATGGTATACCCTAGAAGTGACCTGTGAACACTGGGTTCCGCACAGTGTGATTTATAGATTCTGTCCTGCTAAAAGTTAGCCATGGAGTGCTTTTCAAGTCCAGAGCCACTGGCTTTGCCTTAGTCTCATCAATCAATAAACATCCTGGAACTTCAGGGATTTCATTATCTCTACAGTGTCAAGACTGTCCTGCTGAGGGTCATCCGATTTGCATTCAGTTAGACAACGTTAAGGTGGGCATACATCAACCATTAGGATGGAACCTCTTGCTGTGACAAGAGGAACAGACAAGAGGAACAGACCAGATACTGTGCTCGGCAGATCTTTACGTTCCAAACTTGTCCGCTGTGTACATCCCAGGCAAAGCCAGTAGGGAGGCAGACGTTCTCAGCCCACAGTGCCTTGACCCAGGTCAACAGTCCCTACAACTGGGGGTGTTCCATGACCTGTGTCTCAGGTTCGGGATGCCTGATCTCCAGGTCCAAAAAAAAATTGTATTGGTTTGTGTCCAAGTGCAGGGATCCTCTAGCGGAAGTAGTGGTTACTATATGGTATCAGTACACTCTCTAATCTTCCATGACTTCTTTGTTTGCATCCCAGGGTTGAGCTGGAGGGCATTCCAGTGATCCTCAATGTTGCAGACTGGTCCAGCTGATTCCCCTTTTTAAAAAAAAAGGGATGGACACTCGCTTCTCATTGCATCTTTAGGTGGTTCAGGCAGACCATCATCCCAGTTTATGGTCTCAAGGATTTGGATACCACCTGTTCTTGTCAAGGCGCACTGTAATGGATCTGTAAATTCTGCTTGGGCTTTTCGGCATGAAGCATCCCAAATTTGCAAGGCTGTCACCTGGTCTTTTGTTAACACATTCTACCAGATGGGCATTAGGGCCCTATCTGATGCCAGCTTAGATTCTTCGGACAACTCTTTGAGCAATTTCTTGGTAGTTTTCTTGGGCCTGTTAGTGTTTGTTTGCTGTGTAAACGGCTTTTGGACGTCCTGAAGGTTAAAGTACCTCAATAAATAAGAAAGAAAATTGAATTCTTCTCTAGTTGTAAAAGCTTTGCACTCCCCTCTGTCTATGCTTATGCTCATGGTACTGTTTTGCTTCATAACTGAGGCATGCTGATAGATGGAGTGGTTCTCCTTGGCTGGCCTAGTTTTTTTTTTTCTTGCTGGTGCCCAATCCTCCTTTTTGGGCACAGCATAACTGGAAGGTTAAAGACTAAAGGTGGCCAAACACTAGTAGATTTTCAGTTGAAAATTATCGTTTCTGGAAGGGAACTCTTCTGAGCTATACTAACCAACCAATTGTTGACGAACGACAGAAACAATTTCCTTTTGTGCATGTGCTGTCTCCTTGCTGAGATTTTTGACGACCGAAAACCCCAATGATTTATCAATTTCCGTTTGGTCAGAGAAAAAATTTCCCACCTGGCCGATCGAAAAATGTAAATGAACGTTCTTTCGAACAAAAATCGCACAGTGTATGGCCGCATTAACTGTGTACCTCATTGGACCTCAAGAAAATAATTTTAGGGTGAGTGCAAATGTCCTATTTTTGTGTGTATCCCATATCTGGACTTCTATAAGTGTGTGGAAATGTTTATGGCATATCACATTATTTTCTTCATTGTAAGTTGTACAACTGTGTTCTGTACTTTCTGTAACAAAAATCAGTCACCATTGTTTCTCCTTAGTTTTACCAAACCTATGGATAAGTTTTTTTGTTTTTCCATCATAAACTTGTATTGTACAACTTAGAGTATATAAGTGAAACTCTCCTGTGAGAGCATGCTTCCTACATGCATTACAACAATGTAACAAGTTAAGACACTGTCAATGTCTTTTGAGTGGCAGTATTACATGCCTTAAAGCTGAACTCTGGGATAAGCAAATATTGTGTAAATACAAGAGCCATGTGTATTGTCACTTGAATCTTGGTGTGGTTTTCATCTATTTATTCCAGATCCAGTTTGAAACTTTACCTCTCTGCAAGAGTTTTTTGTAATGAAGGCCAGTCCTTGTGCAGGGTGAATGGTCTGGTATCCGCTCCTTCCTTACTGCAGGCAGCCTGTAGTGGGTGTGGCCTGCTGGGCCCCTCCCGCAGCTTTGCTTTCTGCTCAGTCTATGTGCAGCACAGTGATGATGCCACAGGTACTTTTACAATGTAATATTGGTGTTTCAAAATGTTTTTGGGTGCCCACAAAGTGGATTTACACTCACCGGCCACTTTGAGCTACCCCTTGCTAATACTGAGTTGGACCCCCTTTTGCCTTCAAAACTTCCTTAATTCTTCCTGGCATAGATTCAACAAGGTGTTGAAAACATTCCTCAGAGATTCTGGTCCATATTGACATGATAGCATCACGGGCCCAAAGTGTGCCAAGAAAATATCCACCACCACCTGAAATCGAGACTCATCATACCACTCAACGTTTTTCCAATCTTCTATTGTCCAATTTTGGTGAGCCTGTGCGAATCGTAGCCTCCGTTTCCTGTTCTTGGGTGACAGGAGTGGCACTCGGTGTGATCTTCTGCTGCTGTAACCCATCTGCTTCAAGGTTCAATGTGTTGTGCATTCAGAGATGGTATTCTGCATACCTCGGATGTGACGAGTGGTTATTTGAGTTACTGTTGCCTTTCTATCATCTCGAACCAGTCTGCCCATTCTCCTCTGACATCAACAAGGCATTTTCATCCACACAACTGCCCCTCACTGGATATTTTCTCTTTTTTGGACCATTCTCTGTAAACCCAAGAGATGATTGTGTGTGAAAATCCCAGTAGATCAGCAGTTTTTGAAATACTCATACCAGCCCGTCTGGCACCAACAACCATGCCACGTTCAAAGTCACTTAAATTCCCTTTCTTCCCCATTCTGATGCTCGGTTTGAACTTCAGCATGTCGTCTCCACCACATGTAGATGCCTAAATGCATGGAGTTGCTGCCATGTGATTGGCTGATTAGCACTTTGTGTAGGTATATGAAGTACAACTTGTAAATGGATCTTTGTATATGAAAAATGCGTGACACTGTTAGTAGTAGACAAAGGGACTTACGGTTCGAGGCTCCCCCGTGGTCTGTGTGGCGCACTCCTTCGAGAGGTACCGGGTCGCAAGAGTGTCCCCGAGGGTACGACGGGCTGATCAGTTGGGGGTGCGTGAGCTTCTGCACACCCTCACACAATAGTCACCTAATTGTATTGTGCCCACAGGAGTGCGCTTTATCCTTTTTTGTATTTTCCTGTGATTAGCACTTTGTGTTACCAACAAATTGAACAGGTGTACCTAATAAAGTGGCCGTTGAGTGGATATCCTTTGTGGCTATTGAGGAATATTTACACAAACGGTTTGTGTCTGGAGTTCAGCTTTTGAGTGTCACAAAATTTAATGTACAGTATATTCTAATTAGTATCTGGAATATGTATACTTTATGCTGGACACCACGGGTTCTTTTCTTGGTAAAGTTGGAAGGTTGTAACTATGGGGCAATTGCATGCAGTCATAAATTATATGTACTTTTTTCGTAAATGGCTTTTATGAGTGTTTTTCTAACGTAATTTTTTTTTATGTTAATTTTTTTTCACTTGTTAGGTAAGTGGTTCAAAAGCCGGAGTTGTACGGTTTTTGGGTGAGACAGATTTTGCCAAAGGAGAATGGTGTGGAGTTGAATTAGATGAGCCTTTGGGAAAGAATGATGGAGCAGTGGCTGGCACAAGGTGAGTTTGAACTCTGAAACACATTGATATGCTCTGTGTATAAAATTTGTGTAGCTATTTATTACAGTGTACTGTACATACTGTATTTTTTTTTTAAGGCAAATGTGAGCCTGCTCCATAGCAGTTGGAGAGCTGCTTGTTGCTCATTTGTATATAATGTGCTCTAAATTTTCGCTTAGTGGCTCAAAATATGTAAGTCCATGCCCCCTGGACAAATGGTGTCCAAGTGGTTGACTTTAACACTAGGACCTCGTGGAGTCCCTGCTGCAATTAGTGACTGCTATTAGGCCATGTCACATTAGCAACCTTGCAGTAGCCCATAATTCTCTTCTCTTTGGCGATTTTGCTGCCTAAAGATTTTTTTTTTTTGTTCACCACAAATTTGCATTAAAATATTTTTATTTTTTATGCAAATTTGTAAAAATGTAATTTGTAATCTTTTAACCCTTCACAGCCCCGCCTTACATTACAAAGAAGAGAAGCTTGTAGAAAATGTAACCCTTACGAAGCCAAGAAAACCTAACCCAAGTAAAAGCAATTTAAACTGCAGGAAGCATTTTTTCACTATTTTTTACCTTATGCTATGTGAATGGGAAGATGTAACAATTATAAAATTGGTGTTATCCTAATTTTGGCTGCAGAAGTGAAAATGCACTTTCAGTTTTCAATAATTCTGCAGCCTTTTTTCTTTATCAATCTAGATAGCACTTTTCTTTTGCGTAAAGACTTTCCATGGTAACCGTTGGATTAACAGATCATGAATAATGCAGCGCTATCGCGTTAAGGACAAAATTTGAGAAATATCGGGATATTTATAAAGCTGTGATTGTGACATTAACCAAACCTTAATTTAAAACACAATGACCAGGAAGATTTACCTGCAGTCAATGTTTGGTGAATGTTACATTCATGGATTTGTTAAAAGACAAATGGGCATGTTTATAAAGTTTTCAAATTTTAATGAGAAAAAAATATATACGCACACGCGTGCAACTGATGCAACAGATCTTGATGTTTATTATGTTTATTAATTTCTCAGATATTTCCAGTGTCAACCAAAATATGGCTTGTTTGCACCTGTACATAAAGTTACACGAATTGGATTTCCATCCACTACTCCAGCTAAAGCTAAAACCACCATACGAAAAGTACCTACAACACCTGCCACACCAGCCTCCCTGAAACGCAGTCCAAGCGCATCTTCCATTAGCTCTATGAGCTCAATTTCATCTTCTGTGAGCAACAAGCCAAGTCGCACTGGTTTGGTAAGTAGTTTTGTTCCAACCTGCTCAATCTAAAACTATATTTTTGGTGAAGTTTGGCTTTAAATGTAGTTTTGTATACTATGCCAGATGTGTCCATTGTCTTCAGGATCTACTTTGAACTTGTTAGATGGCTTCGTGCAGTGGTGGCTAACGTTTTTGAGCCCAAGTGCCCAAACTGCAAAGCAAAACCAATTTATCTCAAAGTGCCAAATAAGTTTGGTATTGTGTTTTTAGTTTGGGCACTGGGGTTTAAAAAACGTTCAGCATCACTGCCTTAGGCAAAATAGGGAAACGCACATATTCAAAAATGTATACACTAACAAACACATACAGTGTAATCACACACATATAATCATACATTCATAAACACAAACACATCACTCACTCATATAACACACACATCACACACTCATAAAAACACACCCACACATATCCATACATCACACACTCCAAAAACACCCACACAAAAAAACCCACACAAAAAAACCCACCCACGCATATCTCACACATTCATAAAAATACACCACACACACACATCATACACACACAAAAAACCCACCCACCCACACACACGCATTCATAAAAACACACACATCACATACACACACTCAGTAAAACACACACATATCACACTCACAAAACAAACACAATCATTAACGATAATATATATCTTTTTTAATTGCCTCCTCTCCTGCTTATCTGTTTTTAGGTAGGGGACTGCATCCCTTGAGTCCAGTGGGGCCCTCTGGGCTTATCCCTGGTGATCCAGGGGAGGATCGGCGTGATCTGCATCTCTGACTGATGCAAACCATATTAATTGCTCCTACCTGTGAGCGACGGCACTAGTATGCAGATCATATTGATCCTCCACTGGGAAACCATGGGATGATGTTCATTTAATATATAGCTGATTCAGCAATAGATTTGTTTTTGTGTATTAACTTTTTATTTAAGATTTCAAGATAACATTTAAAACATGCCAAACAAAAGCGACAATTCAACATTACAGTAATAAGTAGGGATGCACCGATATATCGGCCGCCGAAACATATCGGCCGAAAATGGCACTTTTGGCATAATGCTATAATGCCATGTTTCGGCCGATACATCGATTATCGGTTTCGGTTTCGGTTTCGGCCTGACATTTTTTTTTATTTCGGTTTTAAAAATTCCATTTCGGTGCACCTCTAGTAATAAGGATTAAGAGAAAATTACATGGATGACATTTGGTTTAGCATTTACAATGGTTCAGCAATATATTATATATGATCCGGGCACCTTCCAGGTTTAAAGATGGCTGCCACCATTCGCGGCAGCCATCTTTAAAAACTTAAAGTGCTGCGGAGACTGGTGGGACACTGGCGGCCCGCAGGAAGCACCCCAGGGGAGAACCTGGGGTGTGCGAGTCCCCGGCAACCGACACCTAGGCTTATGTGCCACCAGAGGGGCCTCTGCATGCCCTCTGCGGCACATGTGCCTTATGTTCGCCATTGGCTGATAAACCGCTAGCCACTGTGCAGTCTAACGGAAAGGAAATAAAGGAGGCAGAGAGCAGGAAGCACAGGCTTGTACCATGAATTTCGGGAAGACTACTTTGCTATGCAGAAAGGTAAGCACATATTTTTAATACTTCCAAAAGCTATTTACAGTTGGCTGAATTTATTTTTCCTGGAGTTCTTTTGTTAAATACACAACCGAAATACATATGCATGAACTGTGTGAACACTATTCCAAGTTCTTTAAAAGATAAGTCAATCTTTTAATCCAGTCTCCCTTGCCAGGCAGCATAGCCAGATTGGTGGCCTAATGTTCTCCTCTGCATTTAAACAGTGCAGCTTGGTCACCAACCTATGATCCGTTTCAAACCAATGATATGCAGAGTAGAAACCTTTTCTAAACTGTATTTAACATGGTTATAAACATCAACAATCAACTGCAATATATCTTTAAAGGAAAATTATAATTTTAAGGTGGCCGGTTCACTGTATTTTTTTTACTTTACTATTCTTCGATCAGCTGTTACATTAGTAAAATATCTACTATACTTTACATCTAAACTTTCCATAGTGTTCTAAAATATTCTTCACCTTCTCTGAGCATAATCTTACTTGAGTGTAATAGAATGTGGCCATTTATGTTGGTAGCAGCTTGTAAATTTGCTTTGAGTTGAATATTTGTTCCTCTGAGAAAAGTACTTTTATTTTTATTTTTTTATATCTCTAATGAACAGTTAACCGAAACATCATCCCGATACTCAAGGAAGATTTCTGGGACTACTGCTCTCCAGGAAGCCCTGAAAGAAAAGCAACAGCATATTGAGCAGCTTTTAGCTGAAAGGGACATGGAGCGAGCTGAGGTGGCCAAAGCAACAAGTCATGTGGGAGAGGTGGAAGAACAGCTAACCGTGATAAGGGATAGTCATGACCAGGTTAGAAACATAGTTGTTACTAATTTTTCACATTGGTTTTCTGTCCCACCTTGGAAACTCCTGAAACCTTTTCAAAACTACTCTGCCTTACAAGTATTTGGCAGTTGATAGCGTTATGAATGTCAGTGAAGCGTCATGTCTGCATGTGTCTGTGTATATATAATATATATGTATATACTGTATATCATATTTCTAGATATACTGTTACTGCGTTAAAACTAACCGGAAACAAAGAATAACAAAAAGAAACCACATGCCTCACGGGGGTAAACTAGTAGCCTGGCAAAGGCTAAGTCTTGCTGAGAAAGAACCAACACTCTCTATAGTGCTTAAAGGATAATGTAAGCCTCCATTTTTTTTTTGCATAGATCTACTGCTAGCACTCAGCCTCATAGTTCTAGCCGACCTGTGTAAATGAAACTGTCACAGGTCGGCTCAATAGATCGGGAAGTGAGCGAACACATAGGGTCGCTTGCTCACTTCTCGATATATCCCTGCAGAGAGCCATGACTGTCATTCACTGCTCCCTGCAGGGATTCCCCCCTGCCCTGTCCGATCATCAAGCGCTGCCTGGCGGAACGGACGGGGGTGGGCGCGGGCACAGCTGGCTTTGCCTCTAGATAGGCAGAGCCAGCTGTCAGTCCCGCAGCTCGGTGGATCTCGACAGTAATGTCGGGATCCGTCCCGGCTGTGGCGGCAGCTCGCGGTATACTGAGCTTAGGGTCACGGGAGGACGCTAGTTTGTGTCCTCCCGTTATCCTTAGGAGAACTATGGGGAAAAGCCCTGACCTCATATTTCTCCTTTTGACAGAGGTTAATACACACCTGAGTCTTCCCTGCTCGCTCCCGTCCGAAAATGTGAAATGTCCTCGGGCGGCTGCAAAGCAGCTTGCGCAGTTCACATTTTCGGCCGGGACGCGAGGAGAGACACAAGGTAAGTCTATGGACGCGTGTACCCGCATGCAGACACCGTGGGACAGGAAGTGCCGGCAAGCTCAGAGGAGTCAGCGATCGATCAGAGACCCGCAGCAGCGCTGGAGGGACAACAGATGAAAACGACAGGAGAGAAGATCGGATTAAGAAACATAATTTAAGGTAAGTGCTTTCATTAACATTGGGGGGAGGGGAAAAAAATTGACTTTAATGTCACTTTAATGATGGTGTCCTGATTAGACCACGTAGCAGGCCTGCAGATCTGTTCTACTGATGCCCCTGCTTTTTCAGCCCTTGTCATTGCCAGAGAGCGGGAGAAGTGTGCTTTAAAAGTTGATAGAAGCCAGCTTTTTTCTTGTAGACAAAGGTAATGGTTTCTCTTATCCTTCTTGCAACCGAGCCTACAGAGGGCTTTCCAGGGACCTCTGAAAAGTACCAAAAGAGGACTAGATCTTCTGAAATCTTTTACTGTATACAGTCCCATTCTTCTTGGAATTCTCACAAAATGAAAGTGAAACACTCCTGACTTCTATGAAAAGTAGATATCACCTTAGGTAGGTGGGTCAGTTCTTGGCTATCTGGGACAAAAAAACATCAGCTATGGTTCTTTGACAAGATCTGGAGGACTCCCACTCTTTTAGCTGTTGTAATTGCCAGCAAAAACGTTGATTTTAAATACCAGAAACCTAATTGAGGAATCCTGTATGGGAACAAACCGATACTTGGTTAAGCTGTTACACTTCAGAGATCCAAAATGGGAATTACTTTTTGTAGAACCAGTGTGCAGCGATCCCTTGCTGCCCTAAATGTACAAATCAGCAGTTCTCTGCTAGCTTCGTATCTACAAATCCTGATAATGCAGAAACTTGAACTCTTAGGGTTCTGAGGGCCAGACCTAGATCAACAAACTCTTGAAGAAATCTAGAAAAATGGTTGTGGTGAGAAAGAAATTCCTATTATTTATACTGAGGGAAAAAAACCTTCCAGTCTTGAGAGTAAATTCTCCTTGTCACCATTTTTCTTTTTTTAGGTAAGGTGCTGATCACTCTTTCTTTTGCCCCTAAGATCAGCTTTTTGTCCTTAAGATGTTTCTTTCAAGATCTATACTGCTAATTGAAAGAAATGGGGCCTTGGGTACAGAACTGGACTCTGCGTCAACAGGCCCTCTCTGGCAGGCAGCTTCCATAGTGGGTGCACTGGCATCCTCTGCAGATCAGCAAAGTCCTCCTTGGCCGCCAGGTGGCAAAGAGGATTTTTTTGCACATGTACTGCCTTAACCTTGAACTACTCTTGAAAGCATGGCTAATGGTGGAAATGCAAAACAGAAGTGGAAGTTCCAACTTTAGGACAGCACATCCACTAGGGATTAAACATTCTACTTTCCTGTTTGTTATTTCTGAAATGTGGTCTATGGTGGGCATGCCCCACCTGTCTGCAATCTGTCAGGGATCTGACAGATGGATGATCCAGAGAGGCCACTGTAGTCCTGTTGTCGGGGAAATATCAGGACTTTGTGATTCCTCACTAAAGATTGAGAAGCCCACAGAGCCTCCAATACCACTGTCAAATCTGAGATTTCATGATGCCACATCTCCTTTTTTTTTCAAAGGGTCCCAGTTCCTCATGGTTCTGTGTGTACTCCTCAGTACCAAGAGCTGGGATCTGTGTTCATTTTTATTGGACAAGTTTGAGCCCAGCCTCTACCATGCCAATGATCAGCAAACTTGTGCTGGCAGAGTAACCTTTTGAAACCAGCAACTCTTTGTCCAATCCCACAAATAGAGCAAAAAAAGACTGGAGATTGAATGAACTTAAGCCATGGTCAGGATGGACAAGGTCATAAGGCTTTCTAAGCATCAAAAAGTCACACCAACCTTTCTGACGACAATTTCTAGGATCCTGACATCTGCGAGAATATTGTTAAAAATTCTCAATGCTGGAGAGAGACTGAAAGGTAAGGGGCCAAAAACTGCCTCTATCCAGACCGCAAAGTGAAGAGATTTCTGGTGTGGGAGGTGAATGTGCAAATATGCATCCTACAAGTCCAGAGAGACCATGAACATCTCTTTTAAGAAGGGCCTTCCTTGCCGAATTAATCTCTGTCCTGAATTTTTTATACTTCAGCGACTTGTCGCGTTGTCTCTCAGATTAATCTTATTTTTTTAATGAAAAAATATCTAGAAAATCTGATCTGCTGGAACAGGTGGAGCTACCTTTTGCTGACAAAGTTTCTGTGCACTTTGTCAGGGATTCTGCCATCTTGCAGTCTCTTGGTGGCCTGATAAGAAAAAAGGTTTTGGTAGGGAGGGGCTAGGAATTCTAGACAATACCAGTACCTCAACAGCTGGAACAAATGGGCTCCTGAAATGCTTTCCCACTGGGGAGTACTACAATAAGGCTTTTGATATAAATCTTATTGTATGATTTGTCAAGTAGTACAGTACAATACGTGGATATGTTAGTAAAATCTGTATTGTATTCACATTGCATGTCATTGAACATTTGCTGCAAGGTGTATTGGTTTTTCAAAATTATGCATTCTATGTAATCTATAGATAGCATTTGTTGAAAATTCACTTAAATGCAGCTTTAAAGTTGCTTGCCTTCATGCTTACATCTCCCGGTTTCCAGGATAGCTGCGCCGCACTTGAGAGAGGCAGGAAGGAGAGAGAGGGGCATATCACTCAGCCGAGCAATGACAGAAGTGCTGGAACTATAAAACTAGTTTCAGCATATTCGGCTGTGGGATTACTACACACCCGGATTTGCACACTTTACACTTACCCCAACTTGAGAACCACTGCTGTAGAGGCTTGCAGGTGCTGAAAAAGCTTGCTAAGTGACCCCTTTTAGCGTTTCTTACATAGACTATGCTGTTTGTTGTTTTGTTTTTCATCAAAAATATAGTTTATGCTTGGTCACTGCTGGCGTACATGACAAAATAACCTATTGAATATGTCTGCAAACCTTCTGCCATTCTGCTGGGATATCTGGAGGATGCAGTGAATACTAAGATCCTGTAGCGTGCAAACCAGCCAGCAACGTTTGTTTTTTTTTTTTATATTGTTGTTTTGACAGTCTTCTTTTAATATTTTAATAATCATTCACACCAGAATGCACGGGCTAGCATGCATGTTTCATATACATTGCGGCATTTAAAGTGACCTTTTCGTTTGAGTTTAGAGGCAAATTGCAGATCAACTCGCCCAAAATGCAGCATGCAGGACTTTTTTTTTTCTACTGCTCTCCATGCTGAATTTGGTTCTAATTAAAATGTCTCCCTCCCCTAGTATGTCATGGAAATGGAGGCCAAGATGGACCAATTACGCGCTATGGTTGAAGCCGCAGACAGAGAAAAGGTAGAACTGCTAAACCAACTGGAAGAAGAGAAAAGGTGAGAGCTTTAATGTATAACTTTTCTTTGTTAAAAAGAAACCGTCATCAGTCATCTATGTACATTGCAAGAAGTTTAACACACTTTGTTGCAGATTCTCACCTTTTTTTTCTGCTCTGAAAAAAGTTTGTTCATGTCTTTTCAAGACTGATTCCTGAATGGGAGCGTCTATGTTCCGTTGTAACCTCCTGAGGAATTCTGTGTTCTAATATTAAAAGCTACAGGGTTTGCATCCCCTTAGCAGGAAAGCCTTAGAAAGTATCCCACCACTGCCACCAGCTGCCTTCAGGTGATTGAACACTGGCAAATCAATCAAAGTTGCAGGACAGCCCTGTATAACTAGAAAAGATGGTACATGCATGAATCTATAACCAGCCTATAACCAGTTGACAGGGCTATTTGTTTGGCTGGCAGGTTGGCTGGCAGGTTGAGGCTGGGGAATTTTTGTGTTTTGTATTGTTGTAAGCCTTCCCAATGTGCGCCCTGCTATAAAGGCCGGTTATAGATTCATGCATGTACCATCTTTTCTAGTTTGACTATTTTTGGTTTGGGGGACGCACTGGAGTCCCAGCGTGCATTTTTGGTTGCTGGGCCTCCAGTGCGTCCCTGCACCTTATTAGGAGGAGTTGGCTACCTCCAGGTACACCTGCATGTAATTTATCAACTTCATTAATATGCTCACACTTGGAGACTCGGATACATAGAGTTAGGACCACACTTTGCAGAGGTGCCTTGGCGCGGCAGTGTGGCTTCTACATATTTGGCCAAAAGTTTGTGCAACTAAAACCTCTGATTTTAACGCATACTGTTGACAGGGCTATTTGTTTAGTTGCAGGCTGGCTGGCTGGCAGGTTGAGGCTGGGGAATTTTTGTGTTTTGTACAGCCCTGTATAACTCCTCTCACTCCCAGCTTGACTCAATTTTTTTGCTAGTGTCCTTGGGTGATTGACACCTCTCCCTTTTGCGCCTTTTTTCTAGTACTTACATGCTACACTAAGCCACTGCAACGCCTCCAGCAGCTATCCGGATTAGTTTTCTAGCTTTGGTAGATTCTCCATGGCAGAGCTTTGGTAGACCCTAACCGGACAGACAATACCGGACTGGCCTGTAAAGTGCTTAGTTCCTAGACTCTGCGTTTGGCTCCCACCTTGGCACTTGTGGAGCGTGTGGAGTAACCGTAGGGTGCTCTACAGGTACAGAGCTGTGATCCATCTAGGTGAAGCCCTGACCCTTAAAGGTTTAAGAATTATGGGATACACCTTTTTGCATTTTTAGTTTTGTTATGATACAGGAGTTTACTTTGCACTGTACTCCTGTAATCAAAAATCCACCATAAGCTTAAAATTTAATATACTGTGGGTGGGACTAAGCTCTCTACTGAGAAGCGATCCTGACAATATTGTCGGGATCCTCCTCTCCTATTGAGTGACAGCAGCTTTTAGGAGCGCGTTCATGAGAACCTGTGAAGGAGCAGCAGCTCAGGGCACATTCTATCAGTATATTCATGTCAGGTCACAGATCTACGAACACTTGCACATCCATCTATCCAGTTTGTCTTTTTCGTTTCCCTCCTCCCCTCTCCTCTCCACAATGCTGTCTCCAGACAATACACGTACCACATCAGTACGAAGACATTCAGTTCAGCTCTGTCTTGCCCTCCTCCCCTTCTCTCTGTGGTCTTTATCTCTTCTCCCTGTGTATGTAAAAAGACAGCAGAGTAGAGGGGAGAAGGATGAGGAGGGAGCTCAACTGACGGTCTTAGTGCCAATGTGGTATGGGTATTGTCCGGAAACAGCAGTCTGGAGTGGGGAAAGGGGATGATGGAAGGAAAACCTGCGGGATGGATGTGCTAGTGTTCGTAGACCAGTGACCTGAATGATACATAAACTCTGATAGGATGCTGCTGCACCTGCACAGGTTCTCATGAACGCGCAGCAACTCCTATAAGTTGCGGTCACTCATTGAGAGGAGGAGGATCCTGACATTGTCAGGATTGCTTCTCATCACAGAGCTTAGCCCCGCCCACAGTATATTACATTGAATTTTACGCTTATGGTGCATTTTTGATTTACAGGAGTACATTACAAAATGTACTCCTGTATCCCTAGGAAACTAAAAAAAATGCAAGAAAAAAAGTGTACTCCATAATTCTCTAAGTTACCCCTAGGGGGTCTACCTGGCGGCAAATCTCTGATGGCATATGGCACTGGTGTCGCATTCATGGTACTAGTGCGACTCTTGTGTGGCACTTTCAGTGCTCATTTCAGCTTTAGATTTCGACTTCAGCACCAGTTTATTTCCCTTGAGGCCTAGGGGCTGTGGACCACACCTGCACAGTTTCCATCTGGAGTACCATAGTACGCATGCGCCTGCATTTTCTCTGTCTCGCTGAACACATGATGCTGCTGCAACACTGCAAAGACACAGAAAAGAGCGCAAGCTGCACTGTTCAGACCTGGGCCACTTACTGCCTGCCTGTTTCTGGAAGTGGGGCACCCTATCACCCAAAGGTTGTGAGTTATTGCGGCACAAATGGAGGCTCATAGACCCTGAGATGCCTGGGCGGGAGGCTGACATAAGCTGACATCAGTTCTGGAGAGGGAACACTATATCCCTTTCAGTTTAGGATCGGGACACTCCTCTGCACCCTCTAGAGCACCCTCTTCCAACTTATTGTCTAGAGAGGAGTTCACTGCTGTTATGGCTGATTTTATGGGAGCAAATGGGTGACCTCTTTGAGACTACAGACTGCAGGCGCTGCAAGCGGGCCTTTTCCTCTGCTTTCTGAGACCCCCTCTGACTCTCCTCTACCTACTTTTGCACTACCTGTGGAGGAAAAGTCTTCAAGACACTCTTCAGGTGACTCTTCAAGACACAAAAGTTTCCTGACTACTTCTGTCTTTGTAGTTGAGTTGGCACATGCTTGCAGTTGGAGCTACCTACGTGGAAGGTCACGAGTTTGAGGTCCTTGAAACTACCTTAACCTGCAAAAAAGCTTTCTCTGTTCACTCACTGTTGCAGCCTGTTTTGCTTGATGACAGGGATCACCCTTAAAAATGTACTTCCCAAAATGATTTGCTCAGCAATATCCTATTGAATATGGCTTCTTTAAAGGAGAACTATGGGGTCAGTGTTTTTCCCCATAGTTCTCCTTAGGGTAACGGGAGGACACAAACTAGCGTCCTCCCGTTACCCTAAGTTCAGTATACCGCGAGCTACAGCTCGCGGTATACTGAGACGCCGCAGCCGGAGCGGATCCCGACGTAGATGCCGGGATCCGCCCAGCTGCGTGAGTGACAGCTGGCTCTGCCTATCTAGAGGCAGAGCCAGCTGTACCCGCCCCCTCCCGTTCCGCCAGTCAGCACTGGCAGATCGGAGCGGGGAGAGGGGAATCCAGCCCTCCCCCTGTCACGGCAGAGAGCCGCGACAGGATCGAGAGGTGAGCGAACCTGGTATGTGTTCGCTCACCTCCCGATCTACTGAGCCGACCTGTGACAGTCTCATTGTCACAGGTCGGCTAGAACTATGAGGTGAGTGGAAATCACTCATAGTTCTCCGTTAAGAAATGGGCTTTCCTGACGCCAATCCATGGCAGCATACAATGGTGGGGGGCGGAGCCATACCCTTTGTATGCTGCCATGTATTGGCGTCAGGAAAGGAAAATTACCGTTAGGTAAGTATACAATTTTCCGTAGTCCCTGTTGTCGACTTTGCCATTTCTTGTTTGAACAAAACCTTTACTGTCCCTCCAGAGGATGTGCCAGTTTCCAAGTACCCCACGGACAAGAAGTTAGAAGCCCTGTTTGAGGCCCTATTTACCTGTACAGGCTTGGCTATGCAACCTTATGTTGCCACAATGGCAGCATGTCAGACTTCTGTGTGCTCCACAGCTATGGCTAGGGACCAGGAGTCCATCTCGACAGACGCCAAAGTTCTTAAACACTTGTAAAACCGCATGTTGATGCCCTGGCAGAGAAGGGGTGGTGGGCTAAGACACATTCCTGCCTCTGAAGAAGTTGAAGAAATCTTCTGCTTGCTCCTGCTCTGTTCTAGGCCCAAGCAGGGCAAACAGTTCTATTGCAAGGGATGGTCCTCCAATGCCACTAAGTCCAGGTACAAGAATTCTACACAGTAAAGGGTTGCCCCTATTTTTAAATGTTGGTGGACATCTGTCAGCCTTCTCGGTGTTCTGAAAGATGAACATTCCTTATGTCAGCCTCCTACTCCTACAGCCTGGCTACCCCTGCTCTAGATTTTCACCAAGGTTTTTGCCCTGCGCTGGTCCCAGGGCAGTCTCTTAGTGGGCTACTTAGACTACCTCCTCCTCAGAAGGCAGCCTGCACAAGCCCCATCATCCAACATTCAGTGGACAAAAGAAACCCTGCGGAGCTTTGGATATATTCTAAACCTCTAGAAGTCAATGCTGAAGACTTCTAATTGCTTGGAGTATCTGGGCTTAGTCTTGGACATGGTACTGTTCAGAGTCTTCCTTCGCAGGTAAATCCTTTCTCTAATGAAGTTGCTCATGAATACCAGCCTGGGGCAGACTCCTCGAGAGCCTCTGGGTTCAGCTCATCTTGGAGTTCAGATTGAATCTGTTGACTCTTCAATGCTGGACTTCCCAGCTGCAGGGTCAGCAGGTTTCAGTTGGACAGCACCACCACCATGGCTTAAATCAACCATCAGGGAGGCACCAGGCTTCGCACAGCTTAAAAAATGCAGGCCTGATTCTGATCTGAGCAGAACTTTGTGTTACAGCCCTGTCTGTCATGCACATTCCAGGCAAGGAAAATTAGCAGGCGGACTACCTCCGTTGTCAGCGCCTTGCCCTTTGTTGTAGGTAGGGGCTGCTGGACATAGACATCCTGTAACCCAAGTTCAACAACAAACTGGACAGGTTCGTTGTCTGGTCCAGGGTTTCCAGGCTTCAGTGGATACCTTTGTGACTGAGTAGGATAAGTTGAGCCTGCTCTCTGCCTTCCCTTCTTTAATACCATTGCCTAACCTGCTTTGCATGATCAAGACAGAGGGCATCCTGGGGATCTCCAACTGGCACAGGAGATTGTGGTACTTGGATGCAGTAAAGCTCCAGGCAAACTCTGTGGGCACTACTGGATCGTCCAGACCACCTGTCTTAAGCACCAGTATCCCACCCTACATCTTTGTCATTGGCAGTGTTAACGGAGAGTTGAAGCCCAGGTCCTGACACACAGAGGCCTGTCGGTCTCCTAAAGCTTAGGGAATTGAGCTAGGTCTATCATTGCACCTGAAGTTTACTAGGTCTGAAGCCAGGAAGTTCTATCCTAGGAAGTACTGTGTGGGACACCTTTTTATCCCCAGTCTGGCCTGGACTCCCTTTTCATTATCCATAAGGATCCCCGGATGGAGCAACCCCATTACTGCTCCACTACTGTTAGATGTATTCATAGGACTATCAATCTGGCCTTTGAGCTAAAGGGGAACATTCCACACTTTCTGGTCAAGGCACATTTTACTAGAATTATTAGTGCAATATGGGCTTTTCAGCATCAGGTTTCAGTATCCCAATTCTGTAAGGTTGCTATCTGCTCTCATACTTTGACAAGTTCTACCAGGGGGATGTTTAGGCTAATGCGGATGCCAGTTTTGGTAGTAAGGTCCTCCGTATGGCCCTATTGTGTCTCAATAGGCATGCCTTTTATATGTTCCCTGTTGGGGTTATTAATGTTCTTGGCAGCGTGTTGCTGTTGTCTTTTTCCCCTTGGTAAGCTTATATGCTAAGAACCATACAACTCATGGCCCATAACAGTATGGGTTCTTGCGCAGATCAGTCTGCAGGGAGATATTTAGAGGAGCCCAAAACTTAAAAGTTACCTATTCCTTTGAATTGGGCATTACAATTTTTTTTTTTTAATGTCACGGTCAGTGAACAATACTCATCCCCATAATTCAAGCCGACCTGTGACACTGAGGCTGTCACAGGTCGGCTCTATTAATCGGGAAGTCAGTGAACACGCCGATCGCTGACGTCTCGATCTTCTCCCTGCAGAGAGCGGTGAATGTCAGTCACTGCTCCCCACAGGGATTTCCCTCTTCCCTTCTCCCATTTCTTCAGTGCTGACTCAGCCAGCGGGGTGGATCTCAACAGTATTGTCGGCTCTGCTCTCTCAACATATAGCGGGCAATAGCCTTGTTTAAAGCAAGAGGGTCTGTGTGAAAGCCGAGCAGCTAATACATGCAGACTGAAGTCTGCAATGGCAGCCTCAATGTTTCTCCCTCTCCGTTTTCAAAAGATGCTTAATTGGCAGGTCCAAATGCATGCTGGCATAGTAAAAGCAATTGAAGCATTATTATGGGTTGGACTGGGGGGAACATTAGGGGTAAAGGATAGTATAGGGTGAGGAAAGTCCAAGACTGTTATCAGGTTGGGGGATAATATAAGACGGGAAATGGGGAGCGAGTCTCTCTCTCTCTCGCTCACTCATTCTTTTTTGCGCTCTTTCTCCCTTTCAATGTTTCTTTGTTTGTATCATTCAACTGATCAGTAAGAGACTAAAGTTGCAATAACTATTAAAACCTTAACTGAAAAAGGACAATATTTGTTATTGCTTGACACATTAACTAACTAAGTAGTTTTTAATTGTTTACAGAAAAGTTGAAGATCTTCAATTCCGTGTGGAAGAAGAGTCTATTACCAAGGGTGATTTAGAGGTAAAAATTATCTTTATTTAGGGACAACCCTATGATGTATATTGCACTGATAATTATACGTGAGAGGGAAAGCATTTACAAGCTATTAATTGGAGTGTTCTAAAGAGTTTGTATTACAAAATAGCCTTCCAAATTGGGAAAGTGCCAAGCTTGCGAGTAAAAACTCAATAGTTCCATCATCTCTTCTGGTTGGTAATGCATCTTGCTTGCTATTGCTTTGTACTATCTGAAATTAAGCTATACTATTGTATGCTTATAAAACTGGTATTGACTTGAAATCATTTTCTTTAAATCCTCTGTTAAAGCAGGTCTGTTGACTCAATGCCAGTTTTGTAAACATATCTACAGCAGCAAATCCAAAAATACAACTATTTTCTTTCCTTTTGTGCTTTCTTCAAGAAATGGCAATTAGGTTTTGTAGTGAAATTAATTGAAATAAATGGCTTACAGCTCTGTTAGTTAGCCAATTTTTGTCATAAAACTGTATATGACAATGTTGATTGCTTGTATAAAAATGGACATTTCAGTTTTTCAGTTCACATTTTTTTTTGTTACATTTTTATTTTATCATCCTTCCATTCCCTCCCCCAATTTAGTTATTTTCACAGTTTTGATAGGTAAACCAATAGGCACTGCAGAATATCCCATCGACAATTGAGGAAATTCTCACATGGCCCAAATCTATTAATAAATATATATTCTTGGTTAAATGCTAATCACTGCTTTAAAAACGCAAGCTTTTTCACTGGTGCATGCTTCTGTTATTAACTACAGGCAACTGAAATATTCCTATTTCAAACACTAACGTTTCCTTTTATAAAGCCCTTCTTAAGTGTGGCTCTAATATCTCGGCACCAAATGGAAAAAATGCTGCCTGCAATATCCTAAACTTAGTCACAAAAAAGAGAATCACAACTTTGCCCCTTAATTGTATTGTTAAAATCTAAACATTGTTGAAGCTCCCGTTTCTCATAAAATAAATAAATCTAGGTAGTCGGGCTCTTTTAACCAATTCAGTCTCTGAATTTGGATATACACTGGACAAGGTTGCTGCATAGTCACATTGTTACTGCATATGGGGCACAGTCCCAAAGGTAGGCCTTTGTTGACCTTTGCCTAATGTTCACCTTTATTTTATTAACAGAGATGAAATGAATACAGATAGCTTGGGGATATCCTGTTACTACCTTGTAGGCAATAAAAGGGAATTGACCAGCATACATGCAATATGAAATTGCATGTTGAATACATTTGGATGGTTGTCCAAGGGTCTTTAGATAAAAACAAACTGCATGCCAAAAAAGATTCCACAAACTTTTCTGTTGGTAAGATGTTTTTTTTTATTTAAATTTTTAAAAAGTGAAAACTGACAGGACAGTTTTAGTAGAACTTGCTAAAGAATACCATGGCAGTCCTTTGTAATACAGATACCAAGGAATGCCATTTTTTTGTATTAAATGTTTAAAGCAGAAAAGCAAATTTCTGCCCAGTTAAATTGTTTAAAAAAAATACTGTGTAGTCTTAATACACATTCACCACTGGTTAAGTCACTAAATATATTTTTTCTCTCGATTAAAAAAAAAAAATTAAAATGCAGATTATTAAATAATTGCTTGCAAAAGTTATAATGTTCTAAATTTATGCTAATGCATTTATTTTTCTGAAAAATAAACTAATTCTACTTGCTGCATGCACCTGTCCTGTGTTTCTACTTATTGCCTTTCTTTTTTGTCTTTCACCATCAACTTCTTCCCACTTTTCTTGTTGATCACTCATCAAAGAATCATCTAGCCATCCTCCTCTCTTCTGTTATTTACCCACTGCATCTTTGCTCATCAATGGTCCGATCGTGCCGGAGCACGGCCTGCATGTGGCTCCTACCTCTCGTGCTGGCATGTGATGGTGGCACTGTTGTGTTCTCTTCCTCTCCCTTTTTACTAACAGACGCAGACCAAACTGGAGCATGCCCGCATTAAGGAGCTTGAACAGAGCCTGCTCTTTGAAAAGACCAAAGCTGACAAACTTCAGAGAGAGTTAGAAGACACTAGGGTAATGGTTTTCAATATTTCATGGAAACTCTCCCAACACAGCACACTTTTTTTTCACTAGGTTTCTCTAGCCACAGCAGATACTGTCATGGTACAATAACAAATGTAGTCTTTGGCCTTAAAGGATAAGTGCACTGTAAAACCAAGTGTACTTATCTTTTTTACACTCGCTCCCCCTGACCTGACAGATACCACTCTTCTCTTCTACAGATGTATATTTACCTTGATCTGATGCCCGCGGCCTTTAGGGATTGTTTACATGTCTCTCAGGGTGTCAAATCACTGTAAATTTGCATCTGTGCAGGGGAAGGGTTGGATTTTATGTCGAGGGAGGGGAGCAAAAAAATAAATAAGTGCACTTTTCTTTTTTTTAAAATAATTTTACAGACACAATCCAAGCCTTTCTTTAGCTGTTGTGCTACAAAATATTAATGTCTCTTTCTTGACTAAAACAATATTCTCTTGGTATAGCTTTTCATTTCTCCCTTCACACTGTAATGTTTCATTATTTACTGTTTACCAATTCCTTTAACTAAAGATAACCCTTATACATTACATAAACTGAAAAGGATACAGTTAGCAAATTATCTTGGCCAGTATCTGCTCTTTGGGTTTACTGTTGGTAATCTAGTTTTATTTTTTTTTTACAGTATCGGTTTCTAAAAGATAATCTTGTGACTGGGTGTATTACTTAAAATTTTATAATTGGTTATATCAAATATTATGTACACTTGCTTGTGTGCAATTTGTTTTTACAATGCGTTTTATCTTTTCCTCATCTATTATGGGTCACAGGAAGCCTTTAATTTTCATGTTATACTGCCACCTACATGCAGATTCAAAACTGGCAAACAAAATCCCTATAGGCCAGCTCAGATTACAGCCCAGGCCAGCCCTTCTATGTTCATGCTTCAGTTTTTGTTTTTAGTAGTGTCCGAGGAGGATGGATGCCTTTTCTTCAGATTTGCTGTGTAAAAGACTAGCCTGTTTTTTTGCTAGCACTTTTTTCTCGTTCTGTGCTCCATTATAATAATGTGCTGCGCTTCATCTAGAACAATAAATGAATAAACAAATCTCTATAATAAGTGCTAAACAATACATGCAATCAAAGTGCTCACAATTGCTCTTCTTGTAAATATCAATCCTAAATAATATCCCTCTGGAAAGTTCAATCATATATTCAGTGTTCAGATGTGCACAAATGTGGAATCACACATATAAAGTGCTCAAGATTTGTCCCAAGTGCACCATACTCTATCCTTCCACTGTGAAAGTTCTTTATACAAAGTCCATACGTCAACTCCAATTATCACCCAGGTGCTCCCCCTCTCAGTGGGCCTTTCACCATATAAGTAGACCTAAGCGGTTCTAAAATTGCTTTATAGGATCTCCAATCGATCGATCATTCAAAGGCCGTCTCTCCACAATCGTTACACATGAAATTACGTCAGCATGTCATCACGACCATATCCAATAAAATATAAAAACAGCCCATAGCGTAAAACCGAAAAATTAAAAAAACTCCTTTATTTAAAAGAATTCACATAAGGAAAGTTGACATAAAACTTCAAGTAAAATGTATGCCTGACAACTTTCTCACCGTGTCACCGTATTCTCTGGGTGCAAAGACGGATGGGTGATAATTGGAGTTGATGTATGGACTTTGTATAAAAAACCTTCGCAGTGGAATGATAAAGAGTGTGGTGCACTTGGGACAAATCTTGAGCACTTTGTACGTGTGATTCCACATTTGTGCACATCTGAACACGTAATATATGATTGAACTTTCCAGAGGGATATTATTTAGGATTGATATTTACAAGAAGAGCGATTGTGAACACTTTGATTGCATGTATTGTTTAGCACCTTTTTATTATAGAGATTTGTGTATTTATTCTAGATGAAGCGCAGCACATTCGTTATAATTTGACACATTCAGAGGGTACCACTTCTTATAGTGCTTGCAGCTACACAGGGTTTGGGGCAAGGTGCTATTTGTCATCTGTGCTCCATTATTCCCTTTTCCTAATGGTTTTGCCTTGGAAGGCGTTTAATGGTGTGGGTTTAAGCAATAGCATTATCTGTTGGGTGTAGGATCGTCGTCACACTTTTCTGCAATACAGCATTGAGGAAGCATCTCCCCGCTGCTTCTGCTCCTGTTTGAGCCACATGGAACTTCATTCTTCAATCCATTCCTGCTGCCTGCTTACAGTGATTTTTTTTTCCCGTCACCTTCGGCCATCCAACCTTTACCTGTTACTAGCTGTCTGGGTTTTGTAAGTATTGAGGCCTCATTTCTTACCCTGAACCTATATGTTATCTTCCTGCCATGCATTTACAACATGTCTGATTTTAGATACTGCGGTCGGAGACAGTTTAGCTATTCTAGGGTTGCCCAACCCCCCTCTACTAACAGTTCCAGGGCTACTTGCAGCACGCCTAGTGAAGGACCCTGGAAGCAATCTGGCGGCAGCTTAGCTGCCAGAATCGCTTCCAGTGTAGAGCTGACAGTTGGCTTTACACATGTTAACAGAGTCCCGGCGGCTCTAGCCCATTCACAGGGTTCCTCTGCCACCGATGTATGAGATACTTCAGCGGCAACAAAAGGGTTAAAGGAGACTGTTTTGGCTCTGATGCAGTGTGTACCACAGTTCCCAGCCTTGAGTCATTTAAAACTCCTAATGCGGTGAAGAATTTCCCTTTGAATCCACTTTTCAAAACTGTTTGTTTCTCTTTGGAGATTGGAAGCATCTCGATAACTGTATGTTCCCCCTAAGCACCTATTAGCCGTCTAAAGGCAAGACATCAAGTAATGTCTTGCCTTTAGAAGGCGCTTACTATTTCTGTAGAGGACACGCCTGTCATTAAGAACCCAACGGTTAAGCGGTTGGAAGCCCTTTCTAGAGTTATGTTCTCACTGGCGGGTCCTATTGCGCTTTTCTTTGTCAAACCATGTTTGATGGCTGTAACATTAAATTTCAGCTGTCATGGTTTTGTGGGAAGCCTCCCATCTTATATCTCGTTTCTTATGTCGGTACATATGCGTAGGGTACTTTAGCTAAAGTACTCAACTGCAGAACACTTGGGTAAAAAGTGTTTGATCCGCATGGTCTTAGAGGCACAATGCCTTTTGGAACAGTTGTTGACAACATCATTGAGCATCCTATGGTGGCAAGAGCACCCATCTTACTTGGTGGAAAGAAGCTAAAGTAGTATTGCAAAGGATTGGACCAGGCAGAAACTTGATTTAGCAGATTTAATGATGACAACTGCAGCCTGGAACAATCAGTTCAGTGAATAGAGGCCCGCAGGCACATTTTTAAGAAATTTAGAAATAGAGCGATATAGGCTATAGTATGATTGGCTGCCAAGGCCTACGCTACTGCAACTAACCATAAATCTGACATTCCTGCAGAAAGTATGTCTCTTAATTTGACCCTTATATATGAATTTTATCTCAGCCCAAGCAAATGGACTGACGCATGCTCACGTGCCGAATGTGTCTTGTATACTTTTTAGTGTTCATCTAAACTTTATTAGTTAAATGTTTACAGTATGTCTGTAAGGTGGTCTGCAACATCTAGGGCTTTTAACTAATACATAACTATTATAAAAATTATTAATAAAATGTTAATATCAATTGTTTGAAATTTAATATCAAAATTCCACTTCAAATCCTAAGGATCGGACTGTGAAGGCTTCTCCCTCCTCTGAATGTTAGGACATGTCTTGTTTCACAACTACCTTGACCTTCTCATTAAGATCCTCCAAGCTTGGCTGCTAGTCTACTTGGAAAGTCTGGCACACAGTCTGCTAAATCCACAAGCCTCCCTCTACATCAGAGTGCACCTCTCCTTTCCAGAGTGGTGGTATGTTCTTTAAAGCTGAACTCCAGCTTTAAAAATGTATATATACTTGCACTGGTCCAGCTTGCCACAATGTAAAAGCTGCAGCTACTACGATGTATAACACTATCCCCGTGGCCTTGCCCGTGATAGATAAAAATAAATATTTACATTGTGCCAAGCTGGACCAGTGTAAGTATATATATATATGAATCTTTAAAGCTGGAATTCAGGTTTAACCTTTGCGGATGCTTAGACAGTTTGGATCTCTTTTGCTTGGGTGCAGAAGGTGGTATCCCAAGGTTACAAACTGTGCTCCTAAGCACAAAGAGGCGTTCAGCCTATTCTGCATTATAAAGCTCTGAATTTCTTCATACTGGTCCAGAAATTCCACACGTAATCTACGTGTCTGCCTTCACTAGGGAGGCCTTTTGGTTTCTATTGACATCAGATTCTTCCCTACATATCCCGTCTTTTCCAGCACATCAGTGATTCCCAAGATTTGCAGTGGGGCCCCTGCAATATCTGTTTGAGGCAATGCCTTTGAGCCTCTCTTCTGTACCTCAGGTATTCAGCAACATGCTGGTCCCAATAATATCCCTCCTGTGCTCTTGTGGCATCTTCTGTTGAGGAAACAGTCGGCACGGGCTCTGTTGGACAATGTGGCTTTGACTGAGTCCAAGATTTGATGATATTCTTCTTTTGAGGCAGTACCATTTACCTAATTTCATTCCAGAGCTATGCAATAGAGCAATTTATCCTTTCTTTTGGCTACAGCCTTGTCTCCTGTCACAACGGATGCCAGACATGAGTCCTGGGCACCTGTGGGTGCAGGGGACTCTGTAATTAGCTGAGTCTTATCTCCCAATCAAATTCCTGGACCGTCAGGCGCTTTGGCTGTATAGGCAGCGTTGGATAATCCTGCTGGAGGGTCATTTGATCCAGATTAGGTTGGACAGTGCCACTGTGGTGGCGTAAATCGATCATCTGGAAGAAACGAGAAGTTGAACAGAGCATGTCCTGAGCAGAACTTCACATTCCAGCCTTGCCAACTATGTGCAGCGCCTGCACCGAGGAAGTGATCCCTTCACCCAAAGATGTTCCGTGACCTGTGTCACAGGTGGGGTACACTGCATGTAGACCTTCTGGCCTCCAGGTTCAACAACAAACTGAACAGGTTCATCTCCACATATAGAGATCCTCTAACGGAAGCAGTGGATGCTCTGTTGTCTCTGTGGTATCAGTACACCCAGATCTATGCCTCTCCTTCCCTGGAATGTCTTCCTCATCTGCTTTGCATAATCAATATGGAGTGCATTCGGGTGATCCTTATTGCTTTGGACTGGCACAGACGGATGTGGTATGCTGACCTCCGAAGACTTTTTTGCCTGTAGCTTTAAAGGCTCTGCCAGATCATTGGGATCTTTTATCCCATGGTCCGATTTTGTCATCCTGCTTCCCGGTGGCCTTAGGAGTCTGTGATTCCTATGATGCCAATAGCCTCCAAGTCTACTTCTCTAAAGGTCTGTTATGGAGCATGAGAGGCATGCTTCACTTGGTTTGAGTCCTAGCGCTTCCACCCAAAATGTTTCTTCATGGAATAAATCCTCCCCTTCCTGCAGCTGGGTCAAGGGCCAGGTTTCTGACCTTCCTATCCTTGTTCAGAGGCCGCTTGCCTCTTACTCTTTCATTAAGACGGGGGCTGTCTTACATGGCACCTCCCATCGATTCACCTGTGACTCCAAGGGAGCAGAATCTGATGCTTTCTGATTAAAAATAAAACTTGAACTAATTGGAGACCTTTCTCTCTCTCCTGTCATTCACAAGGTTGTATCTGTAATGCGAGTGTCTGAACTTGTGGCCTCATCTTGCAAAGAACCCTTTCTAGTTTTGCATCAGCACAAGGTGGTGGTGAGGCCCAGAACTTCTTGATTAGGTTTCAGGTGGCACTTCGAGGTGCAGGCAGTACCTAGTTGTTTTTTCTTGGGCCTAATATAGTTTGCTTGCTGTGTTGCACAGCCCTCAGTTGGACTGCTTTTACATGTGCCGAACCTTAAAGACTTCCTGTATCCCTCAAAGAATGAGATAGAAAATTGAATTTTTGTACTCTCCATAAAATCCCTTTCTTGGAGACCACCCCTATATCTTTATGCTGATTCTCTCGGTACTGCTTTGCTACATAACTGAGGCATACTGATAGTAGAAGGTACTGATGCAAACACAAGCCCTTGTACACAGAACCTAAGGCCTGATTCACACCTTAGTGTATGTGTTAGTCTGCACATAATGCACACATGCTTGCATGGGATTTTCCATTGCATAGTGCTTTGTTGCAAGGATGTACCATGTTGGTTTTTTTTTCCTTTCTTCCTGCAAAGTGTACTTTAACACACGCTACAACGTATTGGGTGAAAAGAAAGAATGCAGCCTGCCCTAATTGGGACATGCATTGGGACTGTGTTGACATGTAACATTGAGTACGTAATTTGTTCGCATTGAGATTAGTGAATAATAATTAAAGTGGTAACATTTCTGACAGCACAATTGCTGTATTGACATTTTAGGTGCAAATGCATTTAGGCTTTTTACCTGTGTTTACTGTGCGTTTCCCATGAATTTGCATTAACTTGTATAGCAGAATACAAGCAGAAGTGCAGATTGCTCACAGACTGGCCTTAACCGGTCTCCACATCCCATGTACATTAGCCTTAAATCTGTGATTATTGTGTTTTGGCAATAACTGTTAGAAAGAGGCAAATTGATGGTTGTGGGTGTATGCGATCAAGGTGCTGGCTCCCATGCATGCAGTTTAGGTGAACAATGGTTAAAGAGAAATAGGCTGATTCTTCCACTGAGTAGTAATATGTGAGCACAATGTAAAAAAAAAGAAACCCCAAAACACTGAACGGTTTGTAGTATCAACATTTCACAATATACTGATGGTACTCTGGCCACTTTAAGGACTTTTATATATTTATACTTTTTTATTTAAAAAAAAAAATTATTTTGTCCCTTGATATCCCAGTTTTGGGATGTAGTTGGGTGGTGGTAAATTGTCTGCTGGTAATCTGGTTCTGTATGTGGTATAAATGTCTTGGGCTAGTGGACATTACACAGTTGGTGTGTTGGTGATGTGGTAGTACAATTCCCACTACATATGCCCATGCACTGCAATGTCTCATAGTTATTCTACAGTGGACGTTTACAAAAGTAGCAGATTGTTTAGGTTGGGCATCTGAAACTTTGCAGAAAACTCATATTTTGAAGTGGATGTAAAAATCAAGGTGTAATTATAGTGATCTAGAATTGGGTAACTGTGCATCCATTACTTTTAGCAATCCACACTGACAAGCACTTAATATCCACTTCTTTCAATATGCAAATATCTAACAAGAAGTTGGCTAATAAATGTGCCCAATCCCTCTCCATACAGTGTTCCAATCTCTTACAGTACCTTTACTTTAAGCCTGTGTTTAACATTTTACTGTGCACGTGCAGACGGTCTGCAACAGGTGAAATCAACCATTGACAACAAGCACAACCCTGCAGCAGGGTCTTTCGGCACCAACCAGAAGCCAAATTATCAGTGTTTGCTTGGTTTTCAGTGGTGATAATGGAGAGTCTTATTCACAGTTGTAACAGATTGTTCCATATGTTGTATTCAATGCAGTGCTATTATTTGTATTCTTATCTTACAGTTCATGTTTGCTTTAATATCAGATAGGTTTGATGAGCAGGACAGATTTAGAACTATCATTTATTGAACTTGATATTGGTATAAGGACTTCAGATAGCCTTGTTGGCATTGTGTTGACCTTTCTTGTTATTTGCAGCCCAAACCAAGGCCTGTTTCTGTAAAAGTAAGTATTGTGCCTGAAATCAATGTTTATTGCCTGGGGTGGTAGGTAATGCAGTTACTAATACATATGCTTTTTGTAATATTTAGCTCTGGTTTAAAAGTGGCGTTTAAAGTGTTGCATGACAGTTTGTCTGTAAATGTTTGGGAACTAACTTGCAAAGCATGTATGTGAAAGATTTAGTCACCTTTAACCTCCTTGACAAGTAAGATAGAAATTGCCTTTTTATTTCTTTTTATATGTAAGGGAATAATTGTGCCACATATTGGGCCTCAAATGAGGATTTGCTTTCCTGATAGAATGAGTGTTTTAATGTACTTTTTAGGAATCCCTGAGTGGTGTTTTTCCAGTTTTCTAAAGATGTTATTTTTCAGAGCAATCATATTGGACTCTGTCTGCTTCATTAAATGTTTGTAACCTGTAACAACCTGCTAGCTTTAAACGTGAGAATATTAACACTGCATTTAGTGTTGGTGGATCTACTTGTGACCGATGCCAAGTGTTTTTTTTTGTTGGGCTTATATTATCAGTTACCATTTTTTCTTCTGTATTGAATAGATCTTAAGGACAAGGATTTTTCGAAGCTGTTAGCATTACTAATATATGCATGATTTTGAACTTTTGCTATGGTTATGGGAAATAGTGTTGTGCTTTGGCTTACAAATGGTTGGTTCATTCTATACTCATAGGTAATTGTTTCAGAATCCTTTTTTTGTTACTTATTTGATATACATTTCTTGTCATTTTGGATTTGTCTTTCAAGTTAGGTTTTTTAATTGTTTTGCTAGGCTATAAATTACTATAAAAAATAACAAATTTGATGTAGAATATAGCCAAGCCAATATAGTCAAGAGCCTGCAATCAATTCTAGGGACCATAGAACATCTTATGATCGAAGAAGTTCTAAAATAGTGGAGCACCTTCTGTTTTTATTGACTACTTTACTCCTGAGTGTCTAGACCTGGGTGAGGTTTGTGGCTTTGTGTAGATACTGTGTGCCTTTTATACTGAACATTGCTTTACATTCGGTCCAGAGATTTCTTTACTGCAATCACCACCTTGTTGCTTTCATCACATCCATGATTCTCTACATTTCTTCAGGATAGGCCAAGTAGTTAAAGAATATTTTTTTTCTATTAACCAGTGTAGTGGGGCTACCCCCGCACTGCAAGGGTTAAGTGCTCGTTTGTGTTAAGGTAAAAAACAAAAGTTATGCTCACCCAGAGCTCCGAGCCGGCTTCTTAGACCGGTCCTTCCAACATCTCTCCCCCTCCTCTGCAGCGGTCTATAGTCCCGTAAATCATCATGTCTATGCACAGTGTAAAGAGTTAGGGCTTGTTCACACGATGTCCGGAGCAGATCTGCAGACGCGGTGCTATGCGTTTTTGACACGTTCCAGTGTGGAGTGGGGCTGTCAGTATGTTAGCTGCAGTGCGTTTTTGACGTGTTTTGCGTTTCCGGACCGTACCCGGATTGGACAAAATGTGACATGCAGTATTTTCTCTGTCCGGAACGGACTGCGCTCGTGAGAACTGTAGCCCATAAAACACATAGGGATACATTGGGATGCATGTTGGGTGCATGAGCGCACGGATCTGGTCCGGACAGAATCCGGACGTCGTGTGAACAAGCCCTTAAGGACGCTAAAAAAGATTCCAGTGCTGCAGGAAGGGGGAGACAGGCTGGAGGGAGCTTTGGGTGTGTTTAACACGAACGATCACTTAACCCTTGCAGTGTAGGGGTAGCATTAAATTTGGTTGGTGTGTGACAACCTTGCTTGCACTGAACAACAGTGCAGAAATCAAGGTGCAAAGATGGTTGGAACATTGTATATCACCAAGACTATTTCACTGAAAATAAAAACTGTCTTCTAAAAAGCCTGTTTACACATTAGTATCCTAATATCCACCAAGATTTTGACCACCTGTGGAACATTGCTCTTTCTAATGTTGGTTGAATTTTATGGGCCTCTTGTACACCTATTATAAATAATTGTGATATAATTAAGCATCTTTCTAATGTTTTATTTTTTCTGCCTGGGTCAGTTTCTTAATTTAATCATTGTTTCTTTGCTTCCTTAATGTATGGTTATCGCAGGTGGCTACTGTCTCTGAAAAATCTCGTATCATGGAATTAGAGAAAGACTTGGTGCTGAAAACAAAAGAGGTAGCAGACCTACGTCTGAAGCTTGTAGAATGTAGCAAACAAACTAGTGATGTGGACACATCACTTTCATTGTTGCAAGAAATAAATTCTCTACAAGAAAATATTGCACAACTTAACAAGAAACATGAGCAAGAGCTTCAGTGCTTCAAAAGCAAGCTTGAGAGTACGCAAGGTGATCATGAGAGAGAAGTTGTATCTCTAAAAGCCTCAGTAGAAAAGATATCTAAAGAAAATGAGAGCTTGAAAGTAAAGCTCAGCCATGCAAGCAAGGAGAATGCAGACGTGATAGAACTTTGGAAGTCAAAATTGGACTCTGCAATCAGTTCACATCAGCAAGCAATGGAAGAGCTGACCATTTCATTTAGCAAAGGCACACTTACAGGGAACTCTGAATTAATAGAGCTTAAAGCAAAGATAGAGAATCTCAAGTTAGAACATCAAAAAGAAATTGAACAGCTCAAGTCTAAGCAAGAGGCTGAGCGAGCTGAACGACTTAAAGAGATAGATGCTTTGAAGATAAAATTACAATCTTCTAATGAAGAAAAAGAATCTGAGCTTGAAACTCTTCAATCTAAACTGGATACAGCAGAAGAGCAACATCTAATAGAAATAGAAGATACCTTAACTAAGCTGCATGATGCTGAAACCAAGGTAACGGAGACATTGCAAGCCCGGTACTCTGGGTAAATCCACAATGATAGTCTATATAGGCCCACATGGGGTTTAAGGTCTTCAGGTTTGAAGAGTAGAAGTTTGCAGATCTTAGTATGAGAACATCATGTCTTTGAGGAGATATAGCATAAAAGTGAATTTGTCTTCAATGTCAATGTTGTCTTTACTTTTTCAGTCCTGAGTTTCAGACAAAAATATGAAGTACATAATTGGTTTATATAAATTACCCACTAGTGAAAATTTTGGAATGTGTTTTTTCTATGCTGCCTTTTTTCCCCTTGACACAACTAGATGTTTCCAGCTAAAAGTCCATTAACTGTTTACATCTGGTTGCTGGGTGACATAGTTAAAATATGGCAGACAATTTAAGACCTATTCAGTGTTAATGATGCTAAATGTCTGTGTGCAGCAGACTTTGATCATTTCAATTGCTTGGATTTACTCTGCCTGCCTCCACAGTGTGTGATTGGGAGATGCACTCTAAACATGACCCTCGTGACTGAGCTGGGCACAAATTCTGTGCCGGAAGGCAGTAACCTAGTAGACCCTTTATTCCCAGCCCACAGTTTAGCGGGATTACGATTAATGAACTGGATAAAAATAAATGGTGAAAATGTGTTTTTATAGTTCTCTGTATCCATGGGTCACATTTGATTATGCTCCTTTTGTTTTGGTTAGAACCCCAGTCAGACTAGCACCGTATGGGTGTAACATGAAGCATGGTCAGATAACTAAACTTGGGTTTCCCCTAACGTCTTCCAGGACAGCATCAGGAGATGGAATCTCCTGATGCTGTCCTGGAAGACTAATGGAAATAGAGTTACCGGTAAGTCCTAACTCTGAATTTTACTAAACATTTTTGCACACATTCATACAGGCAGTAAATTGACCTTACCAAACAAAGTTTGTAGCACATCCATGACGTGGCCAAATTTAAAAAAAACAACATTTTTATTTAATTTTGCATGCCTTTTCTAAATATTTTATCCAACACAGTGTGTCTTTTATGTACTTGTTTCCATTTTTGTGGTCATTTTTTATTTCATTTTTTTATTTCATTTTTTTTTTTTGTTCTTTTTATTTGCTTATTCCACTCATTACATTCTGATAGGCAAATGAACTGCAGAAGCAGTTGAAGGACCGTAATGAAACGTTTTCTACCCTAGAGGGCAATTTACAATCATTGCTTCAGGCCAAAGAAACCTGTGACATGGAAATGGAGGATTTGGTAAGGTTGCTGCTAATACTTAAATTTAAAAGACTTTAGGTTTTTAGCTTTGAGAAATGTAGATATAGTGTTGTCTGGTTGCAAGAATGAAAAATGTGTTTCTTTTAAATTGGTAAGAGCTTTCAATTTAATGCATACTAATTGTATGTGGTAATCTACTGTTTTTGTTTTAGAAAAAAATATTTAACTCCTCAACTGAAGAAACCAAGGCTCTACAAAAAGTTATGCAAGGTGAGCAGGTGCAGATTTTTGAAAAAGCAATATAGTTTGTGACCTGCAAACATTTTCTAGACGTTTATTGTTGGAGTTAATATACACTCCAACACAGTTGGGTAGATTGAGCAAGGGCGCAAGGTCACATTCTAAACCTCAATTCAAATCCTGTAGAAAAGACTAACTAGCACCAAAATGCAGGGTACTTTAATTCATTTGGTTGAGCGGTGTAGCTGTCAGAGCACTGCTCCAAGCCTGTTTTGGCAGAAATAGTGCCAAGAGGACCTTCTTCAAATATTCTGTTAGAACTGCAAATTCCGAAAGCTTCCTACCTTGCCTTGAGTCCCAGAGGGAAATGTATAATGATGAGCAAATAAATGTACATGTCAGTTCACCTTTTTGCTTGTTCTTTAGATACCGTGGGGAAACTAAATGCGAGAGAAAGACAATGCACAGAAATAACAAAGAAACTGGATGAATTGCAGCCCCTTTGTGCTGGTGAGTGTGTTTCTTTAGTGTAGTATCTAACATACATTCCCTTAATTGTGGATTTGAACCTAAGAGGTACATTTGTGGTTATTATTTGTGTTTAGTGCTGGAGAAGAAAGTGAAAGAAGGTGAAGAGAAAGAAGAAACTTTATTGAAGGCTAAAGCAAACCTGGAAAATCAAATCTCCGAAATGATCCAGTCCTCAGGAGACAGCTCTGCTCAGCTTTCAAATTTGAATCACGAATTGCAGTCTAGGGAAAGGTGCTTAGATGTGCATGTTTCTTTCAGTTTTTGCATTTTAAAAGTAAATGTAAAATATTAACAGCATTTGCTTTCTTGTCAGACAAGTTTTTGTTTCAATAATTTTTAGTAGGAATTTACATTTTACACTTCTAAACCGCATCTAGGGTGTGACTGGGGTGCGAGTAATCCACCAGGCTGTTTCATTGTCCCACAAATGTGGAGAAATGCTTCACATGGGCAGCAACCTCATGCCACTGAGGGTGCAGCCACAAGAAGTTGTTAACAGAGATAGGATGGCAAAGACAAGCCTCTTTGAGACCCAGAGTGCAACATCCTTAGTCACCTGCCACATAGTCAGCTGTCTAGGTTTAGCAGTGTAGTAATATTTGACCATGTGGGGCTATCCCAGGCCACCAAAAATCTTGGATCTGAATGGGGTCGTTTGTGAAATCCTCGGCCTCGAATTGCACCAGACAAAGTTCAAGATTTGTGTCTGCAGTGCTCGTCAAAACTTAGGAATCTCAACTGGTAGAACTCTAGCATAATACAAAAACTTGGGTAGGAGGACATTTTGACTGCTGCCATACTACCTAGTCAAAATAGGTGTTGTATGAATTCCAGATGGTTAGGAGATTCCGCAGCTGTATGTAAAGTGGAAGGTAGTTGACCTGATACAGGGTATCATAAGACTTGGTCAAAAAAATCTACGGTAGGGCAGCTTGTCCAATACCCACGGGAATTTGAAGGAACTCTTAATATGAACGTTTGGGGAGCCAAAGAAGTGTTGAGGGGCTTGGGCTTTGCTGGGTTATCGTGAAGGCATGAGACGGCACCAAAGGCTGACAAAATTTCTATAAGGGAAGCAAGGGAACCACTGGGTTACTTAAGCATAGGAGAACGTGGTCTGCAAACAAACATAGTTTGTGATGGTAGCCAGACACTTCCACTCCACTGATCTCAGGAAACTCACGGATCAGGTGGGCCAAAGGCTCTATAGCCAAGGCAAATAGAAGTGGAGAGAAGGGACACCCCTGCCTTGTGTCCCCATTGATAGGAAAAGAGTCCTATTGATACCCCGCGTAGTTCACTTGTGCTGTAGGGTTCGAATACAGAGCCCGAACCCAAGTAGTGAATTGAGATCCAAACTCCCACTTCTGAAGCACTGAAAGCAAGTCACAGTGAAGGGAATCGACAGCCCTTTTCAATATCCAACTACAGGAGGATCAAAGGTAAGTACCAGGTTTCGGCTACATGAAGTAGAAACACGTCAGATGTTATCGCCTGCCTGTCAACCTGGGATGAAGTCCACTTGGTCACCCCCTATAAGGGTACCCAGAGTAGAGTCTAGGCGAGTGCACAAAACTTTAGTCAGAAGTGTATTATCCACGTTGATGAGAGAGATTGGGGTGAAAATTCACACAGAGGTATCCGTCCCTGGTTTTGGCATCATACAAATAGAGGCTTCAAGTGAGGAGGAAGAAAAAGCATTCCCCTTGGAAAGGGCATCAGACAAGTTTTCAATGCTGTTTCTTTGTTGCATAGTTTTCTAAAGCACATTTATTTCCCTTCTATGAATGTTGGGGGGTTTCCTGACTGCCTCATATGATTCCAATGTTTATGCTGAGGAGTCTCCACTCTGAACCCAGCTGTAGCTTCACCTGCTGGTGAATCCTAGTTTACAGCCTTGGTTCCTACACCAATAGGAAAGCCAGGGGATAGGCATTTTCAGAAATTACAGCCTAATAATGGCAGGTTATTTTTATCTGCTGACCAGTCCAGTAAACAGTCCTCCTGTGGACAAGCATGTGCAATAAAGACTTTAGACTGCACTGGCAAAGCAAATATAGCACGATAAGAATGCTTCTTTTAAAGAAAAAAGTTATTTTTGGTTGGATCCAATGAGATTTGAATATTCTTATTGTTATACTAAAGCTTTGTGAAATAAACCTCCTGCCTTGTTTTTACCATGCTATAAAAGACATCTATTTGTGACCTGTCTTAGTAAAACGGCACTGGGATCAAATCCTGTGTGTCTTGATCAGAAAATGTGTAAAAGAAAAGGAGGATATTAAATGATGGAGGAAAAGTGCTGTTCTTTCCATGCCACAGTTGCTTAAACTCTGATCAAACCACAAATTAAAGAAAAAAAAAAGTTGTCATAGTTTATTTACCAAAGTTAAAATACTGAAAAAGTCTGACTGGTTGGTGTAGAGAACTGAAGCACTTTCCATAAAAGAAGGCTGCTGGCATTGGGTTTTGGTTTTAAATCTCTGAGTTAAATATTTGTTTCTGAATTTGCCTGTTTTACTCAGGAATTTAGCTGATCTTCAGACTGAACTGTCAAAATCCAGGGAAACTGTGAAACAACTGCAGGTAGATATTGGGAAACTGGGAACTGAAGCGAAGCAATGCTCTGAGGAATCGCAGGAATCTCACCAGCTGGCAATAAAAGCAATGACTTCTGAAATAGAAGGCCTGGTAAGAGGAACTTTATACTCTTTGTGAATGTGACATATTATAGTGCAAATCTGCTCCTGCTCCAGTTTTGATAAATTCCCCCCTATGAATCCGTATTACTCTGATTAATTTAATAAATATTAAAACCGATACCCCTAATACACTGTTCATTCATATTTTCAATATATTTAGTATCAATTATCCGTTTAGCTACTGATTCTTAAAAATAATACATTCAGGGAAACAAGACTCTGCCATTTAGACTCTGTTTGATTCTGAGTCTCTGTAGTCCTTGATAGAGGAACCTGCTTCTGAGGAGTCAACGTCTTCTGCCATCACTCCCAAACTCTGCTAACCATTTCAGGTAATATTGATGCAGTACACTCCACTTTAAAACAAAGCCCTCCCCAGTTAGGTACAATGCGCTACTAATGGCTACAGGCTGGTTGTCAAGTTTTAAAGTCGTCTGCCCCTTTTGTAGATCCAGCAGTATTCCAGCTTAACACGGCATCTGCCATCTCATTGGGGGATGTACCTATCTTTAGGAACCCCTCTGACAAGTGGCTGACGGCTCTGTCCACAACCTTGTTCTCCCTGGCAGGTCCTACGATGCAACCTGTTTTAGCGGTGACCTTGATCTCTGGAGCCCCGACCAAATGGTCTAAGGCTATTAGAAGGGATATTATCTCCATAGCAGTTGATCCTTTGGCCATTAAGCATGTAGAACTCATGCCTACAGTCTTGAGCTACAGTATGGATGGGTTGTTGGTCTTCTGACTTATTTCCCATTTGGCTACAGTGTTGGATTCTGTAACCTGCATCTAAAAAGCGTGTTTTCTGCATGCCCTTCAAGTGACAACACCTCCTCAGAGCTGTCCTGGATGCCCTCATTATCCAGTTGTAGACAATAGACGTGCTATACACATCCAAAAAACTTCAAAAAGTATACAGAATGTGTGTAATAGATCCTATCCCTCAGTCGCTTTTCCCCCACACACTTCCCTGCAGTTTGGAGTTGCTGTGTAACTATAGCAGCTGTTGCTGTCCAAAAAAAAGGACCATCTGACACAATGTTTATAATCACTGTTCAGATGTGAGATAAATAAATGCAATGTAATGTTTCATTCATCTGCAGATCAAAGGGATGAGCTGCGATCTGCACATGTCAGTTGAAGCAACTTGACACGTAAAAATAAAACCTGAAGTTGGGCAAAAAAGCCTTTAATAACTTTACAATGCTTTTTACCAGAGTCATCAGTTTAGTGTAATTTTACTTTTAAAATGTTTTTATTGTCTTCAGTGATCGTTATTGCCAAATTTCATAGGCCCATAGCAGAAATGTTGTAAGTTGCTCTGATCCATAGGCGGTGTACAGTTGAGAGCTTAAGTGATTAAGGATGCCACAAGTGGGGGCGTGGCCTGAGCATCAATAGACTCTGATGTTATACCATGTTAATGATATTATGCTAAAATCCATGGCTGAAATAACGACTGGAGCATAAAACCCCCGACTTCCCCCGAACACCGACAGCTGGCCGATCTCTATGTCTTCCCCCCCACTACTGACACCTAATCTCTTGAAACCACATTCTCCTCCTCGCCCACAAATACCGCTTGGTTGCAGAGTGATACAGGACTCTACAGGGTTCTCTCGTCTAGTTAGACACCACAGACCCACCCCCCAAGTGCAGCGGTCCTCGAACCAATTACACCTTGTTCGCCCTCACCACCCACGGGCTAGACCGCTCCCTACATACCCCAGTTTTAAACTCGGACGGTGCTTGATCCTAGTGCTGCCACACACTGACCTGTGTGGCACACAGGAGGACGCACCCGGGGTTCAGCCCACACCTTTCGTTACCCCACTCCATCCCTATCGTCCCCCAATGCCCTCATACCCAACCCCACCTTTCTCTCCTACTAACTATACCCACCCCCTCTTCTCCCTTCCCTTCTTCCCCCTTCTGTCCTTCCTCACTGACCATTCAAACTCCCACACCAGATCGTGACAATGGGGGACCCCGCCGACTTGAAGATTGTCTCCTCGCGCGCTCTCCCCCCCCCCCCCCCCTACTTTCTTCATACCTTCTTCCCCATAAACAGGATTGAGGATTGAAGGCTTACACTTATGGTTATGTTGATACCTGTTGTAATCCCGGATATGGGCTCACAGTATTGCTGTGTTTGTCAGTTTGTTTGTATTGTTTGTTTGTATGTACGACTACATTCCTTTGTACCCTTTATAAAACTCAATAAAACTTATTTGAAACAAAAAAGGATGCCACAAGTGGCAAGGATACTCTTCTTTCTCAGCCAAAGAAGGTTAGGACTCAGTTTGGGAAAGCACACTCCTCACTAGAGACCAAAAAAGTGTCCCTTCTTTTACTCCATGACCCATAATCCTAAGTCCAGACCCAGGTCTAGCTCCTGTGTATAAATATTGCAATTCCAAGTTCTCCAACTCACACATGGCGTCTTGGGCGTGAGGGAGCTCCCAGGTCAGATGTGTGCGTGTGAAAGGTTTCCAGGGGCTACAAGCTACATTTTTTGCAGCAATGTCCCTGGCTTATCAATTCCAACCTGCGCGTGCCACTGCACAGATTAGCAGATCTCCATACAGTCCTAGCGGGTCTTCTGGAACAGGGTGTCTTTACCGCAGGCCCTGTGGCCCATCTGACCCATATTGGATTTCAACGCCATAGTGTCTTTGTTCGGGCCCAGAAATTATGCATGGAATCCACCAGGTCTCATAGTCTCTCTGCATCAGGGAGACTTTCTGGCCTCCTTGGACATCAAGGACATGTACATGCATGTCCTTACTTTTCCAGCGCACCAGCGTTTCCTACCTCTTGATGTGGGTCCTCTGCATGTGCAGTTTGTGGCCCTGCCATTCAACCTTTCTTCTGCACCTCAGATGCTTAGAAAGGTGCTCACTCCAGTACTAGTCTTACTGTGCTCTCAGGGCATTTTAGTTGTGGGATACCTTGTCAACCCCTATCTGAGGGAACAGTCAGCACGGGTTCTCACGGACAACGTAGCTTTCAGAGGTTCAGCTGCATCCTGAACTGTCCAAAATGAGAGCTGGAACCAGCACATCACTTGGAATATCAGGGTCTAGTCCTAGACTGCTCAATCAAGATATTTTCTTTCCCAGGAGAAGCTTCAAATTGTCCACTCCAGAGACTTCTACTCTGTAGTCCAGGAGCTTCACAACTCTCCGCTTCTGTACGAGAGTCCTGGGGCTCTTTTTAAGGCGGTCACATTTGCCCAGTTTCAGTCCAGGCCCCTACAATCACGCATTCTATAATTTTGGGACAAGCCAGTTCAGTGTTTTGCACGGCACCAAGTACTAGGTAGCCCCAGGCTTGGTGGCTTAGGAATCCAACTCTGTTTCTTTCTTTGTTTCTTCTCTTTTTTTCTTTTTCTCGGATTTGCATGACGGATGCCTGCATATCGAGCTGGAGAAGAGTACTGGACATCTTGTCAGTACGAGTAACAGAGGTAATCATGTGCTATGCAGAACTTCCAGCCTTGTCCACTGTTTACTTCTCAGGCATGGACAACTGGCAGGCTTCTCAGCCAGCAGCACTTGGACCTGGGACAGTGATCCCTACACCTGGAGGTGTTTCAGAATGTCTGTCACTGTTGTGGGATCCAAAATGTGGACCTCTTGGCCTCCAGTTTTAACAACAATCTGCACAGATTTGTCTCTAGGTACAGAAAATCTCTAGTGTTGTCAGTGGATTTTCTGGCGTCTCTGGGATTTCCTATGCCTTCCCTCCTCTGAAATGCCTTCCTCCCCTGCTTTGCATGTTCGAGATTGAAGGCATTCTAGTGATCCTCATAGCTTTGCATTGGTCCAATGGAATTTAGTTTTTTGACCTGATAAGTCTCCTGATGGATGCTCTGGGGGCACTTCCAGATTGTCCAGATCTTGTGTCTCAAGGACCGATTTACCATCCTTCATGGTCATTTGTTTTAATGACATTGCTGTTGAAGCCCAGTTTCAGATGGACAAAGGCATCTCTTTATAGATTATTTCCAAGAAACTAAAAGCTACAGTGTCTGCTTTTTGCAAAGTCTATCACAACATGTGGAAGCTTGGTGCGTGGCCAGAAGTTTTCACCTCTGGAAATTCTCTGTGTGATTAAATCTTGGCTTTTTACTAATCTGTCAGGACCAGCAGCATTAAAGGTCAGGTCTGGTCTTGTTTCAGAGACCTTCCATTCTTTAAGACCTTTGTTCTGGGTATCTCCCATACGGCTTTCCCTGTTTGTTCCCCTGTGACTCCATGGGATCTGAATTTGGTTCTCTATGCACTCCAAAAAACACTTTTGAATCAATCAGGGATATTGCCCTCACTCTCACTCATAAGGTTGCGTTTCTTGTTGCCATCACCTCTGCCAGCTGTGTTTCTGAACTGGTGGCCTTGTCAAATAAAGAACATTTATTGGTCTTGTGCAAGGACAAGGTGGTGCTGAGGCTCAAACTTCTTCCTACCTCAGGTAGTTTCAGCCTTTTTCCTTGCCTGTACATTGTTCTTCCATCCCTTTTTTGTACAGCTCCAATTCATCAGAGGGAATTCTCCCTCCATTGCCTGGATGTAGTTCAGGTTGTGATGTTTATCTCGTAGCCACTGTTTCCTTGAGAAAGATTAACTGTCATTCCTGATGACCCCTGTGAGGGTGAACCAGCTTCTCAGTGCACCATTACACAGTGGCTCTGATTAAACCATTATTCAAGATTATGGACCACCCTTTCCTATTAAGCACACTTTTCTTGATCTGTTAGTGCCACTCGGGCTCTTCAGCATGAGGCTACTATTTCTCCGATTTGTAAGACTGTCATCTGATCTTTTGTTCACTCATTCTTCAAGTCTTACCAGGTGGATGTTCAGGCCTCTACTGATTTCCTCTGTCCCTCAGTAGACAAATAATATAATTTTTTTTGTACTCGCCGTAAAATCCCTTTCTTATGGTCCTCTATTGAGGGACACAGGTCCCACCCCTCTGTGTTTGATCATGCTTTTGGTACTGCTTTGCCACAAAACTGATTCATGTTGGCGGACAATTTTGTTTCGGGGAATTTATCAAAACTGGAGCAGACCCTCAGATGCTCCTCTGATGCCTTGATGTCTCTCGGCTTCGCAAATTGCCTGAGCACTGTTCCCTCCCTCCTAATGGATGAATGGATGGCCTACCCCCTTCCCTCTCCCAACACACCCTTTCTCTTTCTCCACCTTCCCTTCTTCGAGCTGATCTATCTTCTTACCTTTTCTATAAATACATTTGTGTCCCATGGCGTCATTCGACTGCTAATTCCTGCATTTTTGGGACGCCAGGGACAGATAAACTAAACCAAAAAAAACCCCACATGTTTAGCAGTAGTTGTTAAAACTGCCCTTTTACACGCCTGTTTCAATACATACCGTGAATGTTTTATATACAATGTCCATTCAATGGCGGTCTTGCCAATGTTTTTATAACATGACTCTACTCTTGTTACTGCCCAGCCTTTATGGATGATATACTTCTGCTACTTGTGCCTAAAATAAAGAATAAAAAACAAACAAAAAACTGGAGCAGACAAAATCTGGAGCAGTTGCCCGGGGCAGCCAATCAGCTTCTTTCTTTTAGTTTGGTTGCAGTGCACAGCTACTCTAGATTTTGTCTGCTCCAGTTTTGATAAATTCCCCTCAGTGTGTTTTCAGTGAGATTGCTTTTTCTGTTGGTATTGCAATCCGGGAGAGAGGGGACAGTTTGACATTATGAAGTTCCACAGGCTGAACCACAAATTCCCCCTCTAGTACTCTCTAATGCAGATGGGCCGGTCTATGCAGACATGACACCGCGACCCACTGCAGAGGGTGTCGCGACCCACTTTTGGGTCGCAACCCACGAGTTGAGAACCACTGGTTTAGAGCAATTTGTTATGAGTTTCACATGTTTTACATTACTCTTCTATATTTTTGTAATAAGCAGTAAAGGAAAACTTTTTTGTCGCAGCGGAAGGCAGGTAGTAAAGCCTGTGCACTTCAAACAGGATGTGTTACATTGCCTACTTCCCACCCACTTCTAGTCAGATGTTGCAAATACTTACAGGATTATTCACAAAAGGGTGAAGAGTTTGGAGAAGGAAGGAGAAGTGAACAATCCAGGACAACATAGCTGAACTGGAAAAATTCTCCAATTCAGCTCACTTTCCAGTTCAGCTATGTTCTCCTGCCTACTCCAAACCCTTCAGCCTTGTGTGACTAACCCTGTTAGCGTTTCCAGAGCTGGTGGAGCATGTGACCTTATCCCAGGATGCAGCACTCAGGAATGCACAGTCAGTGACCAGATCCAAAAATTGTCAACTTGCAAAGACGACATCATCCTCAACTCTGTAAGCTCTGACACCTTCCAATACAGGACTTAGAGGGTTGATGAGGAATGGACTAGTGGTGGGGTAGTACATGGAGCAAAACATGCATGCCCCCATGTACATGTGTAGGATATAGCAAGAATTGCATGTTATCACAACTATTTACATCATTCTGATCTTTTGCATGCTGATAAAACATTGTAGGACTATCCATTACTTTTTTAAAAATGATAGAAAGTGAAAGTGCTGCTACTTAAAGATTTTAAAAATAAAATACTGTAATGTTTCTTCTTTTTTCATGTAGAAATCAATGGTTGAACAGGTCCAGACTAAAAATAAAGAAATGCAAGCTTTGCATGAAAATTCAGTTGCAGCTTTAGTCTCCCAGCATCAAACTGCAATCGATGAGCTGAAACAAAATTTGCAGACAAAAGAGGAGCTATGGAAAGCTGCCCAAAGTGCACAAAGTGAAATGGTCAAACAAATGGAAGAGTTGCAACGACAAGCAGAACAAGCCAAGGTATTTATTTGTTACAGTAAATGTTTTTTCCAGAGTATAAGGTTTCAGAATCCCATACATTTCTTTTTTGTGCAGACTTGGGAATAATCTAGCTTTTTTAGGGACTAAGCAGCTGTACAGTCATGTCCTATATGTTTTCTCACAACCTGTAGACATTTCACTTGTTCAGCTGGGACATAATGAGCTGAGCTTGAACTGGTAAAATGATGTTGCAGATCTCTAAATGTAATGTTCAAATGTCCTTGCATTTCCTCAAATATTAAACCCTGATTTGATTCAAGACCATTTTCTTGAAACACCAAAAGCCTGTTTTCAAAATGGGCAAATCCTAGCACATTCACCAGCAAACCTTAAAAAAAAAATACAAATAATGGATTAAGTGCTCAATTTCGTCTAGGGTATAAAATAAAAAAAAAGTTACTCACCTGAACCTGGCAGCCGGCTGGCTGTTAGAGCACTCCTTCCAGTCTGTCTCCTCCACTGCAGCATTGGCATGTCCCCAGGTGTCCTCACGTCCTATATCAGTGTATTGGACATGATGACTCAAGGATCCTTAGACCGCTGGAGCGGAGTGGGAGAGAGGCTGTAAGGACCTGTCCAACAGGCAATCGGATGAGGTTCAGGGGAGTATAACGTTTTGTTTTTTTTTTAAATATTTATTTTACACCCTAGACAAAAACTAACCCTTAACCCTTGCAGTGCGGGGGTAGCCCCAATGCAAGGGTTAAAATATGTTGAAAGGTCTTTATGAAAGTTTTTCAAGCAGAGCTTGACACCTCTAGTGGCATGTTCACTGCAAATATTTTACAGCTTTTATTAAAGCAGAGCTAACATTTTTCTCCATTCATTTCCATAACCTAAGTTGATTTTTGATATTTTGTGTTCTTATTTTTGTCTTGTGGGGTGCTTTAGTTAAACGGTTTTTATTTTTGCATTGCCTCATAATATTGCATGTATGAACTGACACACGCCTAAAATATGTTTTATTTGTCACATATGAATTTGGCATTTTATCTAGTTAATTATGTCACTTACCTGCTTCTTGTTATTTCTGTTATGGTGAACATAAAAGGTGTCTCTGCAAACTTTGGGCCCCAATAAAAATTGTGGGTCTGCCACACTTTTTTTTCCATAACTATTCACATGCATCTTAAGCCAATTAATTCTCCCTACAGTAACACAAACCTGAACTGGTGATTAGGGTCAGAGCCTCAGATTAGTAGACAGATGTTCTGCAAGATATTTTGCACCTGAGTATCAAGAGCAGGGGTAGCCAAACTTTGACCCTCCAGCTGTGCTGAAACTACAAATACCATGATGCATCTGTCTTTGGGTGTCATGTCTGTGGCTGTGGGAATCTTGCAATGCCTCATGGGATTGGTAGTTTTACCACAGCTGGAGGGCCGGAGTTTGGTTACCCCGATCAAGAGGGTGGCTTTTTCTCTGTTCACACAAAGTCAGGAATTGGAGGGTAGCCAAAGAGCTATGCAAGAGCATCTAGTATTTCAGAAGGTTATAAACAAAGTTAAAGTAGAACTTCTTCCAAAAAAGGAAAGGTGTTTTGAAGTTTTGTTCTCAAAGGAGGGCTAAAATCGTGAATAAAAGCACTTGTATTAGTTGGAGTGGTAAAGATTTAGAACCTTTGTCAGGTTTGTGTTGCTTTCTGCTTACCTGTTCTGCTTTCCTCTCACATACTGTTGTCATCATGGTAGGAAATCCCCCGAATTGGGACGGAGACCGCATTGAAAACTTAATAGAATCCTCCCTTATTCTATCCAAAACATTGCCTGAAGTTTTACTTTATCAGAATCCTTATATGCAGAGACTTGAGTACAGTAAGCAAAGCATGTAGGCACTCAAGCCCTCACAAATGGGATCTTTAGCACAACAAGAAAAAAAAGATGGGTTTATTCTAGGTGCAGTTTTCAGTAGCCTTTTTGATGAGGCACATTGCGTTAGCCCATTCAATGCATCTTGACTGTGAACTTTCTGGTCCTTTAACCCGTTACACTCACTGTTTCTCATTCCTCTGAGGACTGGGAACAACCTGTAGTATGCTGGGCCCCTCTGTAAAATATAGTGGAGCTTTTTCCATTTGGAAGGAGCAGAACAACACCTTTCTACTTCATTTACTACAGAGGTATTCGCTCATAGGCCGTCTGAGCCTTCCTCCCACTCATGCCATAGGTCCTCCTTCTCCTCTGATTATTTGTCTGTATTATGGTGCACACTTCTTTTTTGTGTCTGTGGGATGGGGGGTGTTTGTGCTTGCAGCAGGGTCCCTGGGCAAAGTGTCTCAAAAGCCTTTGGGCACTCAGGTCACCCCAGGTAGCATTCAGGATAAATCTCTGAAATTGACAGTTTGCTCAGTTTGCTTTTAAACCAGTTCTCTGATGAGCTTATTCTCAAGGATGTATCTGCCCAGACTTGTTTAAATTCCCAGCACTCTGGGTCCTTTCCTACCTTCCTTGGCATATGCTTACCTTTGGCAAAATGGTTCTCCTCTTGAACCCACACCCTTCTTAAAGGGTTCTTCATGTCCTTGGGTACTGTCGAGCCCTTTTGTACGATTTGCTAATTAGTCCTAACCCTCTTCTTAGGGATTCACAAGGTCCACTCCACATTAAATGTATTACAGCTGTTTCTCTCGCTGATAAGAATCTGTCCATTCAGCATCTCTCAGATATACCCTCTATAATGTTTACCCTAGTGCTTTTTTTGGCATCCTTATTGTGGAACACTTAGAAGCCCCTTTTTAAGGAGGATTTGTTTTGTAGACTCTCACAATTGATTTGCCAAGTTGAGTTCACATTAGACCCTTACTAAAGAGATCCCCTTCCTGATGCATCTTCTCCTTTACCTACCCCACAAATTTGCCCCCTCTCTGTTCTTGGCTTGTGGGGTATCTAGGGATTGCCCTTCTATCATGGTCTTCCCTTCTCTTTGGAGGCTCTTAACCTCCATTAGTCTCTCTTTTGGTGTCAGGGTATCTGGACTCAAGGGTAAACATCCAGATGATCCCTTTGGATCAAGAAGTCCCAGGTACTAATTTGCAATCTCTGCCTAGTGACAGGATAATGCCTTCAAGCCACCCTGGGAACACGTCCTTGGGTGGTGGGTCTCCAGACTTGGAACTTTCAATTAGTTCACCAGAACCGGCACTTGCTGCTTCTTTAGGGGATCCTTCTACCAGTTGGTGTACTGACCTGAACTTTGTTGGATATCGCCCAACATGTTACAGGACATTTTTCCTCTGTTAAGGTTTGGGAACTTTCCCATGGCCACCACTGAGTTTGTCCCTATTGGCTGTATTGCTTGTCCCTATTGGCTGTATTGCTTCTCCTGCTGTCAATTATTTGCCTACCAGATATCCTCAGTTGAGGCTTGAGTAGTTAGCACCTGTGTGCTTCTCCTTTCCTGTTTGGTAAAAAGTATCCAACTCTGGTTGGCCCTGTATTCTCCTGGACTGTCGGCAAGCGCATCGAGTTAGGATCCTGCTATTACCCCCTTTTTTCATTTAGTGTATCATGACTGTTTTACATCTTGTTCAGCACTCTTTGCTACAGGGCCAAAAGCTGTTACCACAATTGTCAAATTTAATCTTTTAGGGAGTGCCTACACTGACACTTTTAAGTAGGCCAATTACATTTATAGGGTAATTGCACCCAAAGCTTATATTTATTTTCTGGGAGATGTTAAGATTTAAAGCCAAACTCCAGGCATTTTTTTAAAATTTCATTTCGACATTTCCTGTCAGGAAATCTCTCCAACCAGCACAAAAACCTAGAAAGAAGGGTTAGAATGGCAAGCATTTTTGTTACTGTGTGTGCCTTCCTCTCCCAGAGATGGCTGTACCCCCCATTACTTGTATGTTCATTACGGGAAATTTAGATGAGGGAAAATCTCCCCAGTGGGGTCAGACAGAAATTTGAACTCTTCCCAATTATTACCTAAGCAACCTTTCACTGGAGTTAGGTGCACATGATGTTCTTTCTGTGTCTCTGAGGCTCAGGTGATGAGGGCTCTCTTCATGGTTTGTCTGCACATCTTTTGTGATGTTTAGAGTGGAATTTTATGGTAGAGAGGTTTCCAACAGAAGCCATCAGATGACTAAGCACACTTTTAAATCAAGTTTAAACCCAGTGCTGACTTTAAACTTCCATGTATACTGTGGCCAAGCAACTCTCAAGGTACAGAGAAAGCCCTTTATACCAGCTCAGTTTTGTACTCCCTAAGGTCCGTGAAATAGAACATTGTTTAGCACAATGAAAAACACCCATATGAATAAAATCTCCAATATTTCAAATAAAATCATTAAATAATAATGCTTTGTTTATTTGAAATTCGGCATTCCTACGTGTGTCAGTTCATACATATAATTGCTAAATCTCGGCTTACTCCATGTCTTCATTGTGCTTGATTTTCATTTTTTTTCTTCTTCCCAACCTTTTCCCTTCAGTCTCTAACCTGTATATTAGACTCCAAAAGGAAAGAGGTTGAACTTATAACAGAAGAGATGAGGGTTTTGGGAGTGGAAAAAGACACACTTGCCCAGGAGGCAAATGCTTTAAAGCTGGAGAAAGATTCTCTACTGACAAAGATTGTAGAATTTGAATCTACTGTTAATGGGCTCCAGCAAGAGCAAAGTCAGCTACTGTTACTCAATGAAGAACGTAAAGCTGCAAAAGACAGCATTATGAATGAGAAACTGGAACTTGAAATAAAATACAGTGAAATAAGTAGCACCTCTCAAACATTAGCACTTGAGAAAGAAAAACTAATGGCTGATTTGGACAGTGCTAAACAAGAATTTATTAAATTTAGCATGGATTCTGAAGGCTTACAGTCTTCAATTACTGCAATGGATGCCAGTATGACCGAACTTCAGAAAAGTAAAGATGCTCTGTTTTCAGATTATGTGGAACTGCAAAATAAATATCGGCAAATGCAGGAAAACCAGGTCAAGTTTGATGAAAAGATAATGGTCCTTGCCAGGGAAAAAGATGAAATTATTGAAATGCTCAAGAGCACAAAAGAAGAATTTGGGACAAAGCAAAAAGCTCTGGAAAAACAAATAGATGAACTTGAATCAGAAAACAAGTTGTCCTCCGATAAGTATTTGGAACTGGATAGCAGAATGACCACTTTAATTGATGAAAAGAATGAGCTGATCAAAACCATTGTAGGTGTCCAGTCTGAAAGAGAAAATCTTTTGGTTAAGCAAAATAGTTTAAATACAGATATTGAAAATATTTTTAAAGAAAAAGAAAATCTAGCATCTCTACATAGTTGTAAAGAACATGAACTGAATGAGGTCAAATCACAACTGGATAAAATTACACACGAAAACCTAGAACTGTTGGCTAGAAAAGATGAATTACTGCAAACCTGCACTGTGTTTGAAGAAGAAAAGCAGAAGATGGAGGAATATCAGAAGAAGATCATGGATAAAAATAATTCTGTTATCTTGGAAAAGGAAGACCTTAGTCAGAAGCTTGTATCTTTTGAAAAGGACATGAATGGGAAGCAAGCAGAATTAACCTGTGAAGTATATACCCTTAGAGCAGAAAAAGAGAAGATCCTAGAAGGAAACTTAGAACTTGAAAACAAACTTTCTGCTTTAATTGTGGAGCGTGATGAGTTAATAAGGAGAACTACAGATTTAACTACTGAAAAGGCAGAACTCTTATTGAAGCAAGATGACTTAAACATGGGACTGACAGATTTGCTCCAAGAAAATGACAAGATTGTTGTTAATTGTAATGAGTTAACAGCTGAAGTAGGAAAGGTTAGAAAAGAACTTGAGCGGGCACAGAAAGATAATCAAGAACTTCAGGTCTCCAAGGAAAGCCTTACAAACTTGGTTGAAGAAATTAAGACCAGTAGTAGCATATCAGACTCTGAACGTGTTCACCTCTTACAAGAAAAGGAGATGTTGCTTTCCTCTGAGAGGAAGCTGACTGCTGAAATGGGTGATCTCTTGAAACAAAATGAGGAGCTTATGGTTAAATGTCAGAGGTGCACAGAAGAGGCTCAGCTTGCACAGGAGAAACTGATGGGTGAAGTTCATAATCTTAAAAATGCAAAGGAGATGATGATGATGCAGATGTCTGACATAGAAAAAAAACTTGAAACTGTGTCTGCAGAGAATAATGCCTTTAAGTTAAAGAATGCAGAGTTCCAATCTAAAGAGGAATCGGTTATTGAAGAACTATCCAGCATGAAGGCCTCAAACCTTCTGTTGTCACAAGAGAAAAGCAATCTGTTAGCCAAGATTGACTCACTAAATGGGGATATCATGGGAGCAAAGAAACAGGTTGAAGAATTGACGAGAACTAATGACAGCCTTTCATTAGAACTGGAACAAACAAAGAATGACAAAGCTTCTTTTGAAAAAGAGTTTAATAATAATTTCGTAGAAAAACAGTCTTTACTTGAGGAGTATAATAAATGTTGTTGTGACAAAGAATTGTTGACAAAAGAGAGAGAGAGCTTATTGGAAAAATGCAATGAACTTGATACACGTTTTACAAATTTTGAACAGAGGTTAATTGAAGAGAGAGATGCTTTTAAGAATGAAAAAGAGTTTCTAGAGCTAAAATGTATTGAACTTCAGCAAGGTTTGGACAAAATGGAGGAAGAAAGGGATCAGATGGTATTTCAAAGTAAAGAGCTCCAGTGTACATATGACAAACTTATGGAGCAGAAAGTGAACGCAGATAATCTTCTCCACACTCTTACCCAGGAAAGGGAGAGTTTAGAACTCAAGAGCAACAGACTTTCCTCAAACGTGGAAGAACTCGGTCAGGATGTTGCTTCTCTAACCAAGTCAAAAGCAGCGTTACAAGATTTGTATAATGCTATTTGCAAGCAGTTGGAAAACCTTAGCAGTGAGCATGAACTTACAGAAAAGGAGTTAGAAAGGCTGCATCAAGAGAGGTCCAATTTGGTATCCACACAAGAATACCTAGAAAGCACATATTCGGCTATTTTACAAGAAAAGGAAACTGTCCTGAAGAAGTGTGACAGTCTGTCTGAACAAGTGGTTGTATTAACCAGAGACAATCAGGAAGTTTCAGGTCTGGCTGAGCAGCTGAAGGTTCAATACCAGACAATACTCGGTGAAAAAAAGGAGCTGATCTTGAGGTTTGATGAGCTTCAGCTTGAGAAGAACAGCCAAGAAGAAAAAATTAACGAGGTATCATACTAGACAAGTGAACTAATATGACTAACACCGAGCACTAATTTCAGGGCTAACTGCATGTTCACCCGCACTTGCATGCTTTTCACTTTTACTACTTCACAGTCACAGGTTATTCAAAGAATGGGTTTTTTTTTTTTAATTGATTAAATAATTTTTATTTAATCTGAAACTGTGAATAAAATCACCAGCACATGTTTACGTGCTTAAAATGAGGCATAGTTTATTATATAAATTGATGTGTAATTGGTAAAACCATGTTGATCATTTTTGCTTGGACTTTTATTCACAGTTGCTTTTACTTACTGTTGACAAATTATTTTTTTCATAATCTGAAGCATGTATTAAATGATCTGGCAGCATGAAATTAGGTTTTAGAAATCAAAATGAGGTTTCTTCAACTTTTACCGTTTCAGTTTCTATTTGTTGTTTTGTGATTGAGAATATTTATTTTCATTTGTTTAAAGCCAGTTTTGAGATGTAAAAAAAAAAAAAAAAAGCCTAAAAACACTTTAGAATGTTTTCCACATGTGACCTAGAATCTGTACACTTCAATTAAAAACAGACTGAAAACTTTAAAGGGAAGAAAAAAAACTTACAATAACGTGGTTGCATGAATATGCACACCCTTAAACAAATACTTTGTTGAAGCACCGTTTGATTTTATGACCGCATTCAGTCTTTTGGGTGAGTATCAGCATGGACATTTTGCATTGGGAATCTTTGCCCACTCTTCCTTGCAAAAAATGCTCCAAATCTGTCAGATTGCAAGGGCATCTCATGTGCACAGCCCTTTTTTTATACAGGAATAAAATTTTATTCTGCTCCATTATTTCTTACCCTCATGTCACTATACCTACATGGAGTTGGTGTAGGCCATTCCATAGTACTTACCTTCAGCAGGCAGTGTTATCCCACATATGTGTGCCCATATGCAGTCTGTCACCCCATACAGCACATATCAACATCTTCTGCTGTATTGTCTTTTCTTGTTGGATTCAGCATTAAAGGATAATGAAGTCATGGGTCAGACAATCAGAAATTAATGTTTTCTATTTGCAATCCACCATAGATGCAGGGGTGGGACGTTTTTTGTGTTTTCTGATCCTGCAGATTTAGTTGGTAGAGGGTGAAGACACAAATTAAAAGTTCTAGGGCAAACTACTAGTTAAAGGCTTCCCGTTGGACAGCACTGCCCTTCTCTATATGGTATTTATTTTCTAACAGTCACTTACTGTGTAATGGCAACAAGAAATGTGCTTCCTTTTCACTGATGCACCTTTCTGGCATAATGTCTCTCTATCTCTCTCACATGAAGGCTCTGTAATAAAGTGAATGGAGCAGTCTTAAACCTTACTGTGAAAAGTGTATCGGCAAGCCTTTATTGCATGTTATCTGTTGTGCATTGTTTACTCAAGGCCATCATGCCACTAATTTTTCCTTGCCTCCTGTGATTTAAGAATGAAAGACATAGGCTTCTACTAGCCTTTTCCCAAAAATGCTAGTTGTCTTTTTCCATCTGGCTTCAATACTTCTCAGTCACGAGACCGAGACATGCATGCAGCTCATGAGTGTCAGAAAAGTGTCAAAATTCCTTACCTCTTTGAGTGAGCATGACCATTCTATTTCTGTCATGGCAAGTGCACCTGGAGAATTGTTGGGAATCCGTGGGAGTGTGGGGTTGGTTTATCATTTTCAGACTGGGCTGTTCACTTTAATGAACAAGTGGGTTTATGGGGAAAGGTATGCATTGGTGTATCATAGAAGTGAAAACGATGTGCATTCCTATGATAAATAGATGTGTGAAATGCACCCCTATGACTATTTGATGATCATCAGTGTACTGGTCAAAGCATGCTGGTAGTATTGAAAGAGAGGCAACCCTAAGGCCTGGTTCACACCTGGGCGTTTTACAGCGCGTTCCTACGCGCTGTAAAATGTTCAACACGTGAAAACCAATAATTGCCTATGGCCATGGTTCCCACCTAGGTGTTTTACAGCGCGTAGGAACGAAGTACAGGAGCTTCTTTGGGGCGTATTTGCCGCGCCTATCCATTAGGATACAGCCGGATAGCCCTCGGAACCGTGCGTTTGTCACACGTTTCTTTTACTGCAAATCGCGGCAAACGTGCATATTCCATACGCCCAGGTGTGAACCCAGCCTAAAGCTAGCTTGCTGTTAAATTAGCATTTTTTTTATTGCTAATGCATGCACCCAGAATTGGTTATACATCCACTTCATCTCAGAACATTTGGTTATTTGCGTTATATTTAGCTTAGGTGTGGGAATGTCCTCTTTATGGTATTTCCTTCTGTGGTTTTTTGTTTTTTGGGGGGTGATGGCAGGGGGGGGGGGTTAAATAAAGTAAATGTCTATTTCTTGTTGAGGAAAGTCACCATACACTTGGTAATGTTGTAGTAGTGTTCTGAGTCACTGTTTCCTTCTGACCTGCGATCCCTACTGTTAAATGTAGGTTTCACAAATTGCAGAAGAAGCTAGCCAGAAAATTGAGCAGGTGACTGCAGAGAAAAATGTGCTGCTCAAAGAGAGGACCGACACTATTACTGCTATGGAAGAGCTAAAAAAACTGCAGAGTCAACTGCAAAAAGAAGTGAGTAACTTTTATTCCCCCTTAAAGAATGCTGATAGACAGTAATTGTGTTTAGATCATGTGCAAACATTTCATAAAATGTTATTGTTATAAATGTTAGTCACCTCTCCCCACAGGGATTACCCCCTCCCTTCTCTATTCCTCCAGCGTTCATTGGATAGACAGGGGGCGGGGAACAGCTGGCTGTGGCTCTTGCTCCAGAGAGGCCAAGCCAGCTGTCAATCAGGGAGCGGGATTGATCCCGACAATATTGTCCGGATCTATCCCGGCTGCAGCGCGGCTCTGCGCTTTTAACATATAGCCGGCAATAGCCCCCTATATGCTGAGTTTTGGATCACAGGAGGACATTTACTAATGTTCTCCTGTGACCCAAAATTCAGCATATGGTGAGGGTGCAGAGCCGTGACCCTAAAAGAGAACTATGGCCAAAAAAGGTTGGTCCATAGTTCACTTTTAAGTTTATTGACTTACATCACAAACATCAATTATTGCTTATTCTTCTAAGATGTATTTGTGATAAGTTTGAGTAAAAAATTTGTTTAACCCCTTCATGACTGGAGACGCACACTGTACGGCTACCGTTCATTGATGGATGCCTCAGTATTGAAGCATCCATTAATAAAGGAATTAAGCTTTTGTAAAAGCTTAATTCTTTCATCAATGAAAGAATTAAGCTTTTACAGATACCTGATTGATGTCAGCGATCGAATATCTGACATTGACAACAGAGCTGTGTGAACGGCTCTGCTATATCACTGTTTTGACACCTCTGCACACATCAGGATCTGTTTTGACAGCTCTGCACAGATCCAGATGTGTACAATGATGCAATGTTTCATTTTGCTACATATTTCTTTGCTTCCTAGCAAAATGAACATTTGTATCATTGTAATAAAAACATTGCATCAGACTTCTGATTGTTCTAAGAACATCAGAAGTCTTTAGTGACATCTGAATCTGACATGCTGCAGAGTCGGTCACTAAGGTTATTATTGGCTGCTCCTAAGTTTTAAGCAGCCTAATAATAATTTTAATTTTTTTTAAAATATTTTTGGTTATCAAGCATAGTGGCTGCTTAATATAATAGAGAAAAAAAGTGTAAAGAAATAAAAAAAATAATTTAACAAAAGAAAAATTATATATACAAATATATTTTATCCTATAATTATTATACAAATTAACCCCTTACAATGAAAATCTGCAGCTGTTTTTCACCCTAAGGGGTTAATTTTTCTATTTAACCCCCTCGTGACGGCGTTCAAATTTTTTTTTGGGCCCAGAAGTACAAAAAAAAAAATCTAAAATCCTAGGGAGGTGTGAGGTGTTTCCAAATAAAGGACAATTAAATGAATTTATTTTAATGCTTTTTTTAGCTGTACTATTTTTCTAAAAAACAATAATAATCAAAACAGGGGAAAAGGTGTTTTCTTTATGGTTTTTCCTCTTTTAGAAAAAAATATTTTATTCATCCTAAGTGAGGTGATAGGCACACATATGTGATCTGTGATATGTGATCAATCATATTGCCCCATCTGTCCTCTAAAAAACAATATATAATATGTGTGGGTGCACTTTGTAGGAAAGTATGTTACTGCCGTGGAAGAATCACACAGCAAAAATGTAAAAAGTGCTTCAGTCATTAAGGAACAGAAACAGAAAAAAAGCTCAGGAATGAAGGGGTTAATTGTATTTCATGTTTATTTAGTGGACCTACACTGACTCGCAACTCGTTTTTTTGGTAAATTTTTACATAAATAGCCTTCAACCCAAAAATGTTTTGCGTAGTGATTTGATCAGATGGGTAGAATATAAAATGACAGTGATATTTATGCTTACCTTTGCATCACTGCTGTTTATGTTATGGGCTGTGAAATGCCTTTCAATAGTCCCCCACTGTTCCTGCCTATCAGAATTATGTCAGCCTGCTGACTTCACAAACTGCATCCAGGAGAGGACTGAAACCTCCTTTATTGAAAATAAACTGCTGGGCACCAAAATATTTTTGTGTACTGGAAATTGTGCTATATTTTTGCTATATTTTAACTCGTTAAGGAAGAACACAGTAACATCATGGAATTTTGCAGATTTGTGAACTATTTTTATGAAAGACATGAGAGCATGCTAACATTCTATAATTATTAGGTGATCGCAGGTTATGTCACTATAGAAAACCACAAAAGGGTGTATATGCTAATAGTATAGAACCTTGGTTGGCATTTAGCAATAATTGCAGGTTTACTAGAGTGCGTTTCTAATAATAAGAGTAATACCGTTAGAATGCCGTAGGATTAGCAGTTACGTAATAATCCTCAGAATTAACCTAGAGATTAAGCCAAGCAAATACTCCTTTCAGCTTTACAGATTAACACACAAATATACTTGCAAATTATTTTTCTAAACTTGCTTTATAGGCAAGATAAACTGCATTTTTTTTAGTCATTTCTTCTTACGTTTTGGAGGAACAATTGATGGTGTTTTCATTCATCCTAGCTGGAAAGCCTTAGAAAGCAGCAAGAATCGGCTGCAGAACAAGTAAACAAGACAAATGGCCTTCTAAAAGGAGAATGTATGAAAACAGAAGCTCTTAAGAAGGAATTGTAAGTTATTTTTACTTTAATTCTTTAAAGTTACAGAATGGGAACCACATTTTACACTGTGGGGTTTGGGGTGACATATTCTAGCAGCTTACATGGCAGTAATGTTTTATACTGTGTTTGTTTTAAAATTGCTTCATTTTCCTGATGTTTCTGCTTTTCTGTTCAGGTAAACTACATTTAGGGTTACCATTTGGGTTCAACCTTGCAGGCACTATGCATTTTTCGATGATCCATGATGTAGATCCAACAAGCTATTCTGCTTTTGTACACATGTTGTTATATCAACTACGTCCCATTAAGCCAGCTGGCTCTGCTTGTTGGGTCACCTCAATGTAAACTGTACTAATTAAAAATATACTGTCTGCCATTGTTAAACATTTACAAAATGCTTGTTGATTGGCTTTCTTGAGTTTCTGCGCTTTCTGATCCGGAAAATACAGATTAGAAAGTCACTGGAGTAAGAAGTTCTATGTACTTCCAGTCAGTAAAGCTATTGGAACAGCATGACAGTGAGGCAGCTAGCGGTTTCTGGAGAGGACCGCAATGGCGGCGTGC